AAATTCAGGATAACACAGTGTAATACATTTATCTCTACTTAACCGAAAAAAACCCTTCAATAATGTATGCATTTTTCACTTAGAAGAAAAAAAAAGAGATAACCTTCTGATGCTCATGTTTCCTTTTTACTGCGAGAGTTACCGGCACATTTTGCCTTCGTCCTACCGTCCCTTTGTTCCTGTTCTACGCATTCTTTTTTTCATCCACTCCTTTTTCGACTCGCACCTTTCTCTACTCACTCTTTTTTTCTTTTTTTTTTTTTTTTTTATTTTTTTTTTCTTCCCGAAATGAAGAACAAACATTGAAAAAAGGGGCACCCCAGTTCTACGTCGCGTTTGTTAACGTTCCTTCTGCACATCCCTCTTCTCCATTTGTTTTGTACGAGACACTGCTTACCTTCTACCCTGCAGCGTCCACATTTTGACGTTTTACTGAATAATTTGTCGTCCCATTCGGTTGAGCTTTCAGTACGTGCAGGTGTATAGCCTCAAGCGACACTAGCTGGGTATCGCTCACAAGGCACATACACCTACAGGCATCTACATGCCCTTACATACACCTTACGCACCTACACACCAGTTGTGCTGCAAGCACATTTAGGGAACCAACGCGTCAAGTGTTCAAAAAGTAAGATGATAAATTTGGTGGCCTCAACTTGGCCCCCATTTGTTCTTGGCCCATGTTTGTCCATTTAAGCGAAGGAGCGATCCAAATAGAGCCCAAATCGGATCCAGAATGGATCCAGCAGTGAGCTAAATCAGAACGAACTGCCAAAAATAGAAAACTCGCTTGTTCTTCCTTCTCACCCGCGCAGCTAGACGGACCAGGCAGCCCCAATCGTGGCAGGGCGCAGCACCCACCGCTACTTCACAAAGCCCAGAAACAATTAGTAACAACAAGATGGCGAACGAGTATATATCGCAGAAGGTCCTGATGTATGAGCCCACCGAGGAGGAAATTAAATTCGTAAAAAAAAGAAGAGAGAACCTCACAGCTTACGACGCCGCATCAACTGCATGCGTGGATAGAGACACTTCAAATGGTGACCCCTCGGATACCCCCCAGACATTTGCTAATGTCCAGTGGGACCCATTTAGTAATCACCACTCTCCTCCCCCCCACTTGTAGTACCACAAAAATCAGCACAAAAGCTTAAGGTTCATTTTCTGTGGCAAAGAATTGGACGAGTTCGAAAAGGGGAAAATACAGGAGCTAAAGGATTATGTGAATAATTTAAAAAAAAAAGGGAAGGATAGAGAAGGGGGAGAAACCTACGAGGCAGAATTCAAGGATACCATTTTTGAAGATGATAATTATGTGCTCCGATTCCTGCAAGGGTGAGTCAGATGAACATCGAAAGAGTGTGTATGAATATGAGCGTGGGTCAGGACACGTATGTGCCCACGCAGGGGGTCACCTTTACATGCCAACATGATGCTGACGTCCCCCCGCACCGACGCAATCCCTCTCACACACCTCAATATCACACACCTCAATCACAAACACCGCACTCACACCACAGGAACGAATTCCACTTTGAAAAATGCTACTACGACATGCATAGGCACCTGGAGTGGCGAAATGAGAACCTGCCTGTGAAGTACGACGATATGAAGGATATGTTGGTAAGGAGGAACACTCTTGGCGAGAATTTCCATCAGGGGAAACGGTCTGGTGGGTCCTATGGTTGCCCAACAGGACAGTCAATCGGACCGTCAATCGGACGATCCATCAGACGCCAACATAGTGAAAGTGTAGTGTTATTTTTCCACATTTCCCCTTCTATTTTTCGCTCATTTTTCCCCTATTCTTCTCCCCATTCCTTACCTCAGGAAAAGGGATACATCTACGTGCACGGGCGGGATAAACAAATGCACCCCATAATTGTTATTAACTGCAAAACCTTTATTTCTACGAATCCGGTAAGGAAAAGCATTTCCTGGAGGAGCCAGGGGGTCGCGCCCTCCACGAAGGGAATACTTCGAGGCAGCGATACTATGCATTCGGATGTTGTATCTTTCTGGAGCGCCTCCTCCCCGCTGATGAGAATGTCAGCGTATTGTCTTCGCTACGTTTTGCATGTTTTTCATGTTTATTTTATTTTCTCTTTCCCGACGCAGAAGGACGTTTTGAAGGTGGCCTACTACTGGATGGGTAAACAGTTCTGCATTCTTTTCGTTCCGCTCTGTTTCACACGTGACGCCGTTTTCATTTTTACTGTTCATACCGCAATCGACCTCTCGTCCTTACCTTTCCCACCGTAGAATTCATCATATCGAATCTATTCATCGAAGGAAAAATAGAGCAGTGGAGAGTCATAATTGACTTGTCTTCATGTGGCGTGATGAACATCCCCATCGGGACGTTAAGGGACATTTCGAAATGCCTGAGTGTAATGAACGAGGAGGACGCGAAAGCGGAAGAGGGGAAGTAGAGAACAAGGAGTAGGGGCTAAGGAAAGCCCCGAACATCCGCCACATCAATCAACGTCACATACAAGGGATAATCTCCCACCACCACCCCTTCAGTGTAATTACAGATCTAGGCTAGCCAAGATGTTAGTCTTGAGCGCTCCTCTTTTTGTGACGGGCATCTGGCACATGATGAAGTCAATCATCCCGGTTAGTTGGTTTGAGGGGTGAACCCTGCGGTGGCAGTGATAGACGTTATCGAGATCGTGTTGTTTTTTCTCATTTGTTTCCCGTCGAGTGGATACTTCTCTACTCCGCACTCTCATTCGTGTGGTTTGCCATACCATGTATGTTTCTCCACCCCCACACCCCTCTTCAGGTCGTAACACAGCAGAAGATAACAATATCGTCATCGGAGGTTGAAGTAAGGGAAAGCCTCGTTATTCGCTTTGCCGTCATGGCCGTCAATGCTGTCATAGCCGTCGTCGCGATTTTCCTTCCCGTCATCTTAATTGCCTTGTCCCTCCTCTTCTTCCCCCTCTTCATCTGCTTCCCCGTTTTGCTTCCTTTCCCCCCCTTGTAGAAGAAGCTCCTGGAGCAAGTGGACCTTGACCAATTAGAGAGTAATTCGACGGAGACACATTTTGAAAATGAGATGAATCTTTTTTTGTCCGACGCATCGCGGGGGGGGCTGAAGTGTGGAGGGGTTACCCCCCATACGGCTCCACCGCTTCTCCCCCTTACCACTTCCACCGCTTCCCCTCCTTACCACTTCCACCGCTTCTCCTCCTTACCACTTCCACTGCTTCTCCTCTTCACGACTTCTGCCGCGTATATTTGCGACTTCCTCCCCCCCTCATTTGTAGAAAAATTCGGAGGAACCTGCGAAAATGTAACCGTCTTCACTGAGCCAGTCATGCCATAAACTCACTCTGTACCCCCTCCCCCGTTTTTTCTTCCTTTGGGTCATTTAAATTTTAAGAACGCAGTTTTTTTTCTTCTTCTATTTTTTTTTTAATTATTTTAAAAAGTGCCTTTCGCGAAATGTTTGGCATATTTTTGTCGCTTCAGCCACGACAGCGTATGTAGCTTTTACCTGGCACTTGGACCTTGTTCCTCCTTTTCTTCATTTTTCCTTTTCGTTTGCCCCCCTCGACCTGCGCACGTTTATACAAGTGCACACATATGCGGCTTCGTTGCATCTCATTTTTCACCCATCTTTTCCTTTACGTTGCGTGTTTTTGCACTCGTTGCCCTCTCTGCCCCTTTTTTAAGTCCTCTCCTCCACAGCAAACTCGATTACTTTTAAATTTTTTTTCACAAAACGGGCGCCATGATGGGGTGCACCCATGTGTAGCTGTGCGGTGGTGCTTATGGGTATGTCTACACATGTGCAGCTCTGTCACAAATCCTGGTCATAAAACATGCCGTAAAGGGCACGCTTGCAAAGGATAAACGAAAGGCAAAAGAAAAGGTAAGAAAAGAGGAAGCAAACGTGCAGCACAAAGTAGAAGAGCTTCTTTTTTCTCCTTAAAAGTTGGACAAACTGCTGCTGCTTTTTTAAAAAAAATTCTATTGGATAAGTCAGTCTGCCTTTTGTATATTTTCTCGAGTCTTTAAAATTGCGTAGATAGTCTGCAATGTTGGGTGGGAGTGAAATCATTTTTTTTTTTTTTTTTTTCTTATACAACGTTGCTTTTGGATGTTCACTTGGCTGTACTTTCCTCCTTGTCCTTTTATACAGCTATGCGTAGAGACTTATGACAGGGAAAGGATCTCTACGCAGTGGTGACTGAGAGTTTTGCATAGGGGAGCGCTCCTGTCGGGTGAGTTTCTTACCAGTGAACCGCATCACTGCGGGGGGGTGTCCCTTTGGGGGTTCCGCAGAGTCAGTCTCGCTCGCTGCTTTGGCGTCCTCTTCGTCTAAACAGGGGGGATGAACGTTCTCGGTGTAGCTGTACGCGCGTTTCTTTGCGCCTCTTCTTGTGCGTTTTTTTTTTTTTCTTTTGCGACTCCTTTTTCGCTTCGCCCCACCTTCACTGGTGACCCCACCTGAGTCCTTCAAGTTCACCACGTCGAAGCCCGGTGGCGCCTCCGGGTGCACCGCAAAGTCGCTCGCTGTTTCAGACGTTGATTCATGCGCTGCTTCATGCGCTGCTTCAGACGCCGCTACACCTGCTAAGAGATCGTCCAAATTGTCCACCTCGCGCAAGTCTATACTCTGTGCATAGCTGACGCCTCGGGGCACCCCGTCCACAACGAACGCACAGTTGTCTTCCCCTCCCCCTTCGTCCTTCTTCTCTCCACTGGAGTTGTAATTCTTCTTCATGGCTATGCACTCATCAATGATGTCCAGGGTTCCTATTTTTTTTTTCTCCAACTTGGTGTTTATTATGTTGTTTAGTAGTAGCTGCAATTGCTTGCTCCTTTTCCTGTTGTCACCCTCGTCATTATCATCTTCATCGTTTTCACTGCACCCGTTAGAAGCGTTGAATGTCCTCACCACGCTGCTGTCATCGCTGGAGAGGGTCGCGCCGTCCGATCCATCCTCCGATTGGCCGTCCAACTCGTCGCCCGTTTCTCCCTCCGAGTGGATATCCAAATTAAGGGCTTTATTTATATCATTTAGATTCTTTTTTATCTTACTGAAGCTGGCGTTTATGATGTGCACGCTTTTCCCGATGGAGGAGGCACATGTGGAGCCATCTTCCCAGCTGTCCGAGTTGTAGGCCCCGTCACAACCAACACTGTTCGTGCTGTCATCCTCCCTGTAGTTATCATTACCTTCCCTTTTTCCCTCCTCAGACTTGGTGTGATCACGACCCTGCACTGTGGACAGGGTCGTATATGCCCCTTTTTTTATCATCTCTTCTAAAACAGGAGGGAAGCTCTTCATCAGTGTGAAGATACCTTTCGAATGGGAGTTTGTCTTTTTGGTTGGTGCTCCTCCCTCATTATGGCTCCCTCGCCCATACTTCCACCCATCGCACTTTTTATAGGTTTTCTTTTCCCTCCATTAAGGGAGACAAACGCTGCAGAAGAAGATTATCACATGCACCAGGTCCATCCTTTCTGCCGCCTTTTATGGGATTCACAACTTGAGGCCCGATAAATAGGTTAAACAGCTAGCCAAAGGTAGAGAAAAAAAAAAAAAAAAAAACGCGCTATGAAGAGACAGAGCTGGTAATGGTAAATCTGACAGGCCTTACTTCTGCTTCTATCCTTTGCTTCATTTTGTCTACGCATATAAGTTTGAAGTTGCCCAACTGGTGGATAAAAAAAAAAAAATGCAGATGCGCGTGCGCACATGTACATGGGTAAGTGGGGCCGCTCCACGGCGACATCCCCATAAAGGGAAAAGACACACCCGCGGTGGAGCATACACATAGAGAGGTATGCCCGTGCACCTTAGCGGGATTCAAAATCCGAATCTGCAAAGCGTCCCGAAGCAGTGGCGCTACTGCGTGGGGACTCGCTGGAAATGATTTGGATGATATGTTACACAAGGGGGGGAGTGAGAAGCATGCATGTTGGCTGCTGGAGAAGTGGCACTCACGGGGGGAGACTTTCCACTTATCTGTTCGTTGGTCATCAAAGTGGGCGGAGTGGACGCTCCCGCGGTGGGAGGAAAGAAAAAAAGTTTGTCCAAGTGGAGGATATGTAGAAGTTCCAATGCGGAAAAAGGACAAGGCGCAAAAATGCGGGGGTTGAAAAAGGCTCCCACTGTGCGGAGACTACGCCGCGAGTGACCGCAACCCCATCGCAACGTCAGAGCTGCTCATTCTTGCTCGCTTCGATGATGGAAACGATTCGGTTGTAGGAGTTGTCCAAGAAAGTCAGGATGGGAGATGAGGCATACTTGGGCATGTGTTCATAAGCGCCCTTCAAATTGTGGTAGGTAAATTCAAAGGAGTACTTCTCCATCGGTGGTATCATCAAACAGAGGTTCTTCTCCTGGTCTTCATTTCCGGAGGATCCTTTTCTCCTTTGTTTCGAATCGCTCAAGTTGGCGTTACTGTTACTGGAGGGGATGACATTTTTCTCTTCTCCATTGCTATCCCGATGTTTTAACGGATCGAATTCATCACTCTGATGGGAAGACGCTGTCTTTTTTCCATCACATGGATGAATGAGCCCTTCATCGTTTACTCCTATCCCTTTGCCATTCACCTCACTATGGTCGTCATTAACTCCACTATCGTGGCCATTCAGTACACTATCCTCGCTATGCACTCCATTCCCCTGGTGATTCCCTTCCTGCTCCTCCTGCAAAGTACTGACTTGCACCTTCTGCGCCAAAATGTCACTTGGGTGATGGAAAACTTCCTCTTCCTCCTGATTTTTAATGTTTTTCAAATCGAGGAAGTTTTCACGCAGGTAAATATTTTCATAGAAGTACTTCCTCTCGTGTTCCTTTCTCTTGTTCTTCAAACTGCTCGGAGCTAAGTCAGATGAATCCATGTGAGCTAGGTCTGTGGCATGTATTATTCCATTGAGAATCTTTTTTCTCAATTCAGAGTTGTCCTTCCGTATCAGATTAGAACAGATGGAAAATAATTTCATCTTGATTTCCATCTTGTCATTGAACGTGTGTATAACTCCTTTCACGATTCTTTCACTCAGTTCCTTTGTGTCTATAGTTGTCTCTTCTTTGTCGAGAGCATGTTTTATTTTGTTTATCACTTTGGTGTATTTACTTATGCTTCTGTTTGCTGCGTCGTCTTCCTTACATGCTCGGTTGACGTTTTTGAGGAGCGTTTTGTAATCTTCTTCCTTCTTCTTCTCTCCCCCCACGGAATTCCCACCGACGGAGTTCCCACCGATGGAGTTCCTACTGCCAAGGTTTCCACCGCTGATTTTTCCATCGCCAAAGTTCCCACCGCATGGGACGGTCCCCACGCAAGGGGCCCCCCCTGCCGCAGTGGCTCCTTTCTCCTTCGTGGCGCTCTTCTTCCCCTTGGCGCTCTCCCTCTTGGGTGGCCTCCCTTTCTTGCCCGTCTTCTTCCTTCTCTTCCGCCCGGACGCCTGCTCCTCGGTGCAAAAATCAGAGTCCCCGCTGTACACCTCTTCAAACAAAATTTGATTCTCCTCCACAATATCTTCGTCCGTGTGTCCAGCCAGGTCATCTTCGAAGGTATCTTCATCTTCGCTTTCGTTTGACAAGCACGCCTCATCAAACAGCTCATCGTCGTCTTCCTTTTTTTTCTTCCTCTTCCTGTCGCTTCGTCTTTTGCTGCTTCCGGTTTCTTCCTTGAAGGTGTGCTGCCCCTGTGGGGAGGGCTTTCCTCTTCCTGCCTCCTCCCCTTCGGGGTTATCATCGAGGGGTTCCTGCTGCCCATCCGAACTTGCTGCGCGTTCCGCTTGGCCCGGTAGAGAGGCCAACTCGCCTTTCACACGGCTTCGTTCTGCCTGATTGCTGGGGTTTTCCACTTCGGTGGGTCCCTGCACTTTGCTTGCTCCTTCCACTTCGTTTGCATCTTCCATCTCGTTGGCTTCCCCCCCGAGTTGTCCCTTTTCCCCTTCTTCGCTCGCCATGCCCGCTCGCGAATTCCTGTGCGCCTTTTGGGCCCCGCGTTCGGCCACTCCGCAGTGACGATCACGCGTGGGTGGCGAGTGCGGCGAGTGCGGGGCGGGGACCACTAGTGCCTGTGCCCGAACTGCGGAGCGCTCACTGCCAACGGTATTGCTACTGCTGGTGGTGTTGCTACTGTCGACGGTGATGTTATTACCGCTCCTGTTGCTCTTCCGTTTCCCGTTTGCACACACCGGGGAAGTTTTTTTTCTCTTGGTTCCCTTCTGTGCAGGAAGATTTTTGCCCTTCTCAACAAGTGGCATTTTTTTTTTCTGAGCATTTAGCAGCGCCTCCTCCTTGGGCACATTGTACAGGGAGAAAAAGGGAAGGTCAAGCTGGAAAATATTTTTCATGTACTCATTGTATATTAAAAAATTATGATTACGCGAGTTAACCAAATCGCAAAAGTAGAAAAAAAAAGAGAGGTGTTCCATCACATGGTACACATTATTGAGAATACAATTCGGGCAGATAAAATAAATATCCGTTTGCTTTACCCTTTGTCTTTTGATCCGTATGTCATATGTTTTTTTGTACTTGTTCACAAAGGGAGACATTTTGGTGAAGTCTCCAGATGAGTCGGAACTGTTGAAGCCATTCCTGTGGCTATATAGAAGGTGACACAGGAATATATTTATGTCATAATAGGTGTCGCAACTGAAACAGAAGAAGTAAAGGTACTCAAAACGTTTGTGTGTCAGCACGTAGGTATGGTTTGGGTCACAGAATACATTGTAGGTTTCTCTCATCGTTATGTACACGTTTGAATTTACGTAAAAATGGAGATCTTCCCCGGTGCTCCTGTTTATACTTATGCAATTTTTGGCTACCTCAGGAACCATCCGGGCATTTTTGTCCAAGAATTGCTCGTAGTAAAATACTCTGAAGCTGCAGCTGGTTTGGTCCCTCCGGTTGCTGCTGTTCTTCTTCTCCCGCTGCGCTGAATTGAATACGATCTCCTCGTCGTACTCACAGGGACCGCTGTGATTTGCTTCTCCCGGTGTGACTTCCCCGGTTGCTCCTTCCTTGCGGCTGCCTTCTGCTCCTAAGTGGGCCGCGCTAAACCTCCTATTATGCTGACAGCACAGGGGAAACTCATCAAACAGGTAAAGGAACTCGTAAAAGGTATAAACCTGGATCCTGTGAAGAACCTGTTGTTCGCTAATGTCGTTGAGGTACCCCAAGCAGGGCAACACATTCCACCTGTTCATATGACAATCAAAGTTATTGTATAGAAATTTCTTGCAGTCACTACTGCTATATATCAATTGGCCTATAATACTGACGCTGCTTTTTCTTCTCAAAAACTTATATATCTGAGACATGACAATCTGGTTGCTATGTCCTTGGATGCTAACCGTGTCATATTTATGTAGCTTTCCAATTTGGCTTTTAATTTTTTTTTTTTTTTTTTTTTCCATTTTTTCTAAATTTTCATTGTACTTTTTGATTACATCGAGAATTTTTAAATTGCTCATGTGGGTTGCTTTTTTCCCACTCCTATTTGCTCTGTTCGGTGAGAATGCAGAGAGGGAGCAGGAAGAGGATGAGGAGGAAGAGCAGCACGACGGGGACGATGATGAAGTGGACGAGCAGAACGAGTAGGAACTGGTTGAGGAGAGCGACTCGGAGGAGTGACACGAATTTGTGGACGACGCGGATGTGTGCCACGCTTCGCCGGCGGTATGATGCCTCCTCTTCCTTTGGTTATTCCCTCCCTTGGGTGTCGTCCCGCAGAGAGGACCTCCATCATCACTATTGCGGTCGCTAGCAGCATCGCGGTCATTACCATCATGGCGGCCGCTAGCAGCATAGCGGCAACCCCCCCATTCATCCCCCACATCGGTTTGCACATCAGCACCACTGTCGTCATCCCCCCCGCCCATCTGCGTAACATCGCCGTATTCATTCCACGAGGCTCGGACCTTCTGCAGGCCCCTCTTCCCCCTTGACATTCCCATCATTTCTGTCTCCTCAAGCTTGCTGCGTGCCACAACCCGGCCGAGGTCGAATTTGCGCATCCCCGAATTTTCTCTCGCGTCATGTTGCTTCAGCTGCTCAAGAATTTCATAATTTTCAACATCATTGGAGGAGAAAAAGGATTTCAATTGCAACATGTTTGAAATGTAAGGCCTCTCCTCCGATGTATAGCAAAAAGAATTCTTGTTTAGGTAGTAGTATAGCTGGCTTATGTCACTTAGTTTCATATGGTTATTCACTCTTTTTATATCCAACTCTGTTATGTCCAGGTCGAAAATATTCCTTAAGTTGACATCTACAAATTGTATGGGTTCCACCACATCTCCGTTTTGTTCTTTCTCATCCCTCTCGCCATTTATGCTGCATTCCCCATCTTGTTCCGTCCCCCCACTATCACCATGTTTGATGGCTTCCCCTTTTTGCCCCATCGTCCCCTTGGTCGGCAATTAAGCCCATGTGCTTTTTGCTCCTTTATGAGATTAAAGCGGCATCACAGAGTTGTCTGCGTCTCATGTGGGGGTAGGAGTCAGCACTCTGCAGCTTCCAATGGTCTGCTGACTAATACGCCCCTCCAAAAGGTTCTCTAATTTGGTACATCCAAGCAGGCATGTACATATAGGTAAAGTGTATATGACTTTGTGGAGCCTCTCCTCCTAGGGGGATAATGCGACAATGAAGAAGAAGCTTCAAAATTATGTCCCCTCTTCTGGAGAAATTCCGCAACGGGGAGCTATCTACGTGTGAATAAATTGCGAATCTTATCCCGTTTTATATCTCAAGAGGGTGAAAGAGTAAACAATTTTTTTCTTTTTTATTTTTTCTTTGCCCTTTTGGCAGCCTACTCGCAGGGGAGGCGATTCCTTCCAACTGATTAGCCGAACGTATGTTGATGCGTCCGGCGGTAACCTGTTGTTCGTTCGTTTATCTACTGACGGACTTGTTCGCATATAAGGTGTTTTATTTTTCCCCTCTCTGTGTTGTCGCCTGGTAGTTAAACGCAACGGGGGATAACATATATTAGGCCAGAGGAACCTGGAATAAGAATCCTTCACGGTGGTGAAAATTTCGCCTACACCGTGCGTACATACACGTATAGCATATCCGTATTGTACGCGAGCATGTATGGGACCCTGACCGTGCATGTATATACTCTACCGCGCGCCGTGCGGAACAAGACCCCCCAACATTTTTTAAGTGACTATATCATGTAGCGCCAATTAAGTAAAATTTAAAATCGCGATAATGGGAAAGTCGTTCTACGAGAATGTAGAAGATACGTATATACCTTTTTGGACGCTGTTTTCTTGCGCGTCATGAAGGAAGCTCAGATTTGACATGCAAATGGGCCCACCTGGGGAACACCCAACGTTGCCAATAGGGGAGAATATTCTCTTCGTTGCGCGTTTTCCCACTGCATTTCTTTATTTTTATTTCCGTACCCTCACTTGGTTAATTTTACAACTGCGTGAAAAATGCGCACGTTACCTGGTTCTCACAAAAATCGCCTTATTCTTTTGGGATTTCCGAAAAGGTGCCAACAAATTGCTCAAAATGGGAATCACACAAAAGGGGAAAAAAACAGAGAAGAAAATCGAGGGTGAAACCCCACCCACGTGATAGAAGACGCGCAAAAAAAAAAAAAAAAGACCAAGCTCATAAAAGAATTAATCAGTCGGAAAAACACACAACGCATGTTTCTCGGATGATAAAAGGAGAAAGCGAGACTTCAACACGAATTTGTGGTGAACTGTGAAACGTAATTTAAGTGAATAAAATGTAAAAATAGCTAGCTGGAAAAAAGAAAAAAAAAAATGCGCAAAGGTGGCACTTCTGTATGACCAAGTCAGACAAAAATGGGACACGAACAAATGCCTATTCTGTTGGGGAATCAAGCCAAACTGTGACAACTTATTCCATTGTGCTCCTACCAAAGAGAATATATCATTCCCTGCGATTACTCTTGTTTTTTTTTTTTTTACGAACTAACAAATTGCAGTGTCTGTGATGAATTCGGATTTCTTTCCCACTGAAATATGCTCACCCCATTAGGTACCTGCACACTTAACAACCGTCCTACCGTGGCGTCACTCCGCCACCGTGTGCAAATAAAAGGTACAAGATATTTTACCCATGCGCGTTGCGTCTTTGCATTATGCAACAAAAAAACTCGTGCAAATAGGGCACAAGACGGGATGACACGAAAAAAAAGAGAAAAAAAAGGAAAAGGCATTTCCACATGGCTATATTATAGCATAAGTATAGTCGCGTTGTAAAATGCCTTAATGTGTAGTGAAAAAAAAAAAAAAAAATGACCCACCCTCATATAAAACACGTAGAGGGGGAATATAACTTTTCAACCTTAAGACATGTTAATGACAAGAAAAAAAAAATGATAAACAGAAAAAAAAGAAATAGAAAAAAGACAAACATAAAAAAAATAACAATTTCAACGTGGTGCGATTGTTCACACCGGCGTTGTATTATCAAAAGGGGGGAGGGATAATATGAGCACTTTGGCCAGTTCATTGGTGTCTATGGGGCCGCCACTCCCCCTAATCCGTGTACACAAACTGGAAGTGCTGCTTCGTTTCATATAGCTCCCACTTCCCCCCACCCCGCCGCTCTGCATGTCAAGCTTCAATTCACGTTAATTTTAAAAATTTCCTCGAGCTTCAACTTGGGCGTTTGAACACTGTGCGATTCGATTATGTTGTTGTAGTTATCACTGTTGATATTTACCAAAATGAGGAAGTCAATTTTGGGGATCCTCTTCTTTTGGTTGTTTTTCTCATTAACTATCAAGGTGGAGACTTCGTCCGCCTCATTCACCAAGTCGGCAAAAATCTGGTCCTTATAATTTATATCCTTTTTAAATTTGCTAAAAGCATAGTGATAAATTTTTATCATTTTGGTCGCCTCCAACTCGACATTAGCAGCTAATTCTTTGTTAATGCAGTAGATGGAGTAATTGACAAAATTGTAGTGTTCATTGACGGAAGAATCCATTGAGTTGTAATGATTGTACAGGTAGTTGCTTCTTTGTTTTTTATTTAGTTCCATTTTTTCTTGGGTGTTTGTACGAACGAGTAGATTCTCGATTAGATAGAAAATGCCAGAGTTGGCTTCATTGAAGCTGTTATATTTGTTCGTTATCATTTCGCTTATAGTTTCCTGGTTCATGGTTGGCTCCAGTATTTCTTTGATCTTTCCAAAGAACCATTCATTGGCCATGGCGGTGGTGGTTTCCTGCCCGGCCTCACCTCCTCCGTCTAGTTCATTGGCGCTGGAATCGTCCACAGGGGATTCTTCCACAGGGGCTCCCTCCTCGCTCATGGAGGCGTCGCATTTCCCCTGCCTGTCCAAACTGTCCTCATCCGTTACGTGCGACTCATTCCGAGCTCTACCTTCATCGCTTGGGCAGTAGTCAGCGTAGGAACTGAGATCGCTGAGGAAGGGGGACTTGTCCCTATTTTCGCTAGTCAAATGTTTTTTTTTTTTTTTTTTCTTCATTTTCTTTTTATCTGAAGAATCTTCGTCCATTTCGTTTATGTCGTCCCCAAGCGTTTTGTCAACAATGTTGTTGCCATCTTCGTCAATGACTCTCACGAAATGTTTTGCTGCTTTTTTTTTTTTTTTCTCCTCTGAGTGAACTTCCTTTTGGTCACTGCTATTTTGGCTAGCTCCTTTTTCTGCATTTGGATTGTCCTTTTGATGTGAAGCAGGGAGGGGAGGGGTAAAACGTTCAATGTGCAACCATGACGCCAAAAAAAAAAAGAGAAAAAAATGACCGCACATGGGCACGTTCTCAGATGAGAACTGCGCCTAGCATTATTTGCACGCATCTAAACAGGGGTCTCCTCGTGCGGTATCTCTACTACGTGGGGGAAGCTACGTGGGGGAAGCTACGTGGGGCGGTGTTTTCTGCTTCTGTTCACCTAAACCTCGTGCGAGCAGCTTGCCTACCTCATATCCTAGCATGCTCCAGAGGTTGTAGTTGTTGCCGGTGGCCTGCGAAGAAGCGAAGGGGTTGCCTCGAATGGGTGCATACTGAAGTTGGACACACTCAAGTGGAGCATACTGACTTACATTCGTTTGCGTGTTTGGCCACAGGTTGGTGGCCTCCCCCTTGCATACATTTTCCGACGCGCTGAGACAGGTGAAGATCACAGGGATGACGTACCCCTGAGCTGTGCCCTCTGGGGCAATCACCCCTCACATTCACGGGCTATGTAGATATGCCCTTCCTATCGACTGGACAAAAGTGCACCAAATATGGAGTACTTTCCCCAGACAGCCGAGTCACTCATAGATGCAAGTAATGCCTTACGTTGCCGTTTCCGCTATCGGCGTTTCCGTTCTCGTTAGCGGCGTTTTCGTTCTCGTTAGCGGCGTTTTCGTTCTCGTTAGCGGCGTTTTCGTCATCATTGCCGTCGTTGGTTGCTCCTCCCCCGCTGTAGTTGTAGTTGATAAGGTTCCACATTACTGGCGCCTACCACGGTGGACATAGACAGAAAAAAAAAAAAAAAAAAAAAAAAAAAAAAAAAAAAAGGGAAAAAAAATCCACGCGTTGACGGCTCCTGCCCCCGTGGGGGGTTAATAAAACAAGAAAAGCCGCTCGAGGGAAGAATAATTTTTTTATTTTTCCCCTCTAAATTGTATTTGCCTCCATTTGTATACTCTGCTGAGGGTATGTAGCGCTTAAGTACAGTCACACATGCACAGGACGGTATGTTCCTTCACTTAAGAGCACAACGCGATACTGTGCCATAGAGTTATCTGCGCAATCCCGGCGGGGTATGCATTACAAATAAAATGGGTAAACCACTTTTCCGCGGGAAGGACTGGCAAAAAATGAAAAGTCAAAAACAGAAAATGTCATAATTGACAACAGGTGGGGGGAGGAAGAAAATAAATTGATCTGTTGTTTGAACTTAAACTTTTTTTTTTTTTCTCTTTCTGTGTGCATATTTCTGTTGATGAAAAAAAAAAAGTTCGAGGGTTACATTTAAAGGTTCATTTCACCTGAACAAAAAAAAAATGTAAAGAGAAAAAAAAAAAAAAAACAGAAACAGGAACAAAAAAAAAACAGAAAAAAAAATTAAGAGAAACTATTGTTTAAGAAAGCAATTTAACCCTTTTATTTGCAATTTCAGGAGAAAATACTATATATTATTAATTTGCACGTACTTTTTTTTTTTTTGGGGGGGGGGCCCAAGAGGGCATTTCTTTCCAGAATGTACATAAAAATATAAACGTATTTTTTTTTATACGTGCTAGATATGTATATATATTATGTACCATTGACAGTGCAGCAATTGTACATTTGCCCCAGATTTCCCACCTACAATCATTCCCTCTCGTGCTGCGTGAACTGCATTGGTAAAGTAAAAGCACATTTGTTGCGTTTTTTCCGTTTGTTACATTTGCTATTATTTGTTGCGCCTGTTGCGCTTGTTGCGCTTGCTACCTTTTCTGCGTTTTCTGCATTCGTGGCGCTCAAAAGAGGGTTTCCTTCGTCGCGCGAACGAATGCAGTGGCGTACGCTCCAGTAAGTATCAGTGTACGCGCAGTCATACGTACAACCAAACGTACAGCCAGACGTGCAGCCAGACGTGCAGCCATACGCGAGGCCATACATACAGTCCAGTCATATTCCTTACATGTTCTTCATACGTTGCGCCTCCCCCCTTTTGTATGTACAACTTTTCCCGGGTTAGCGCTGGCATACTACTTATACCCTCCTTCCTTTCTGCGCGCCAGCTTGGCCTTTTTTAATTTTAAAAAAATTCCAGCCCACGTATAGAAATAAAAATTGCCAAGTTGGCGCCTGGGGGGAAAAACGCACTTATGCTTTTGCCTTTTAAAGGAGGGAGATCTTCCCAGACTTTTTTTTTTTTTTCTCATCATTTGAGAGGGGACAAGTCCCCTTAGAAGAAGTCCCCCACAAAAAAAAAGGGGGATAAAGTGTCAAAAGACGCAAATTGACACAAATTGACGCAAATTTTGGTGGCAACTGTGGAGATCAAGCGGCGTGAGGATCGAGTACAATGAAGGGAAGATCCTTGGAGCCACCCATGCATATGTAAACATGACGATGAGCTGTGGGGGTCCCTTTAAAGAGAAAGAATTCCCCTCTGCGCAGATACGTATATGTGATCCGTTATGCCATAGTGGCTGCAGCAGAGAAAGAGGTCGTCCGAAGCTTGTGCGACTGTGCGTGAGCGGCGCGGACCGTCTTTTTTACGCCTCTCGTGTAGAAATTACCACCCGTTTGTAGCGTCACTTGTTTGGAGACCTGATCAACTCGTTCACTCCGTTTTGTTTACCTCTCGTACTGGGGGGTGACGCATCTTGGCTGTCTCCTTGTGCGAATGCCCCCGCATTAGGTGATCCGCCCTGGTTGATGGACTACTCCTCGTCCCATCCCATCCCCTGTCAGTTATAATATCGTGCAAGTTTGCGAAGTGAGAAGCTCCAAGCGGGAGCCCCTCATTTTTGGTGAGAAAGCAAACCCTAAAAGTATGACACCTCCCCAAGGGAAGAAGACACACAGCAAGCAAATAGACGCAGGGAAAGACCGGGAAAAGATAAAATAAAAAAAACGCAGCGAAAACCGAAGTGTGGGACACCAACACGGTTTTAACTTGAGAAGAAGTGCAACAGAAGGAAGAGTAACCCTTTACCCAGTGGAAGATACATACGACACAAGGACGTAACGGACACTTCACCTCATTTGCGCACGTCGCTCTCTTCACACCTCCAACCGACCGCTCGGAATGGATCAGGAGGCAGAACAGAGCAGAAGAGGCAACGTGGATAGCAACGGCAATCATGCCTACCCGAGCCACTATGTAAGTTCAAGTAAATATATTAACGGACCTTTGTACAAAAAAAGCAAAGATGTCTCAATGCAAAATGGTAACGTCAATGGATTCATCATGGGGGGGCCAGGTGCACCCATTGAATATCAGCCCTCAACAGTTAGAGCCGCGCGCTTTGGTGAAGAAGATGGGTACTTCGATCAGAACGAGTGCAAGGGGGGCATCCCCAACGGGGATGGTATCCTCCATATGAATGGCTCCATCAACGGGGGCGGCAGCATCAACGGCAATGGCCTCATCAATGGGAATGGCCACCTCAACGGGAGCAACGCTAATCATCTGCTCTACAGCTACCCAAGTGACCTTGGCACGATGATGCCCGCATTTTCCAGTCACCACGTAAATGGAAATATAGACCTATGCCACAAGGAAAGTGAAGGCGGAGCTGAAGTCACTGAGAATCTCATTGGCTCCGTCAACAGTATTAATGAGAGTATGCATCCACACGAACAGTATGACCAGTTTTGCGGCGTACAAGAAGGAGGATATCCTGGATCCCCTTTTGATGGGTGCGATAAGCCGATTCCGGAAAATTTAGACGTGGGCTTCATCAGTTCAATGAAAAGTTCAGGGAAGATCCACTTTGGAAATGGCAACATTGAGGAGGCAGATGAGCCAAGTCAAGACTGCTACCCATCCCAGAGTAACGGCACGAATGCACCTGGCTGCAGCGGACAAGTAACAAATGGGTACAGTGAAAATAAGAGATTTTCCAATAAAACGGACGGTATAGTTCAGATGAAGAAGAAAAAAAATGTTACCTTTACGATCCAGAACGACGTGTTTAGCATCCCCCCGGGGTTGAACGAGGCCGACTCGTTTGGCTATTACGCGAATGGTGTTATGGCGAGCGATGTGAGCGATATTAGCCGTGTTAGTCGTGTTAGCCGCCTTAGCGGCATGCCAAACGGTGACTGCGTCGCGGGGGAAGAGAAGCACACCCCCGATGAAAGTACAAAAATGAAGAAGACACACGGGAGTGCCTACGGCACCATAAACGAGAAGGACGCAACGAATGATGTCTATAACTTCATCACACTAAAGAAAAATAACCATAGCTACCACCCGAACAGCATTAACAATAATTACATAGAATACGACATCAACAATAACGGGCCTTTCTTCCCGAGTATGTCAACCGGATTGAAGAGTGGCTCAACGATGAGCAGCACCTTCGGTGCGAATGAGGGGGGCGGCGTTAGGGCAAACGCGGACCATCATGCTCAGGCCGAGGGGGACATTTCTTCGACGAGTTGTCAGGCCATGCAGCACGGGACGTACAGCACCGGTCCGCACGATTGGGTATATAAACAGGGCGATCAAAGAGAAAATCAGCCCGGAATTGTACCAAATGTAGTTAGCGCCAGAGTGGTCAACGGAGACGTGCCCGGCGAAGCCCCCATCAGTGACAACCCAGTGAGCGAGCAGGAGGCAAAACCAGGGGGTGGAGGGGCCACCTTTTTCGTCGAAGAAGTACCAAACGCGAGCGACACAACAGCCAACGTCAACGCGATGTACGATAGTAGCAGTTACAACTGCAGTGAGGCAAAGTGGAAGGGTCTTCCATTCAGTGGTGGATCCATGAATAATAGAGGTGCGAATCGAATGCCAGGACGAGGAGGTGTTCTAAATAAGAACGACAAAAGCGCCACCATAAACGGAAAGGTAAAACAGACCAAAGAACGACATAAAGGAAGTGGCCGTCCGAAGAGCGTAAGCTTTAGCAAAAAACTGGTTTCCAACAAGAGTAATCAAGAGAAGAAGAAATTGTCCAAGTACCCTTCCAATAGTGTGAATCGATCCGGCGGGGATAATCAACCACACAGGTTTGGAGAGACCCATCCGCATACGCTCAGTGCGAACATGCTTCCGCAGGATGGTCCACTCAAGCATGGAGTTCACACGGGCCATATGGGCGGCGTGAGCGATGTCAGCGGCATGAACGACATTCGCGGCATGAGTGACGTCTCCCAAAGCGCAAACGAAATGGTACACGTGCAAAGGCAGTTCGTGATGAGGTACCTCAGTGACGTGGAGAAGATATATCAAATAAGGGAGAGGATCAGGCAGCACGAAAAGAGAGTTAATAAAAACAGGGCGAAAATCAGAGCACGAAGACAAGCCGAAAGCGCGGGAAGCGCGGCAGGCGCAGCCGCAGCAGCAGGAGGAATAAGTTGGGATAGCTCCAACAGCCTGGTAAATTACTACAACATATTGGAGCTTCTCTACAAGTCCAGTATAAAAAAAAAAAATATAAATGACAAACGGATCAGGATTTTGCTGTATATATTTAAGTATATTAAAAATATCGAGCGGAGGAAAAAAAAAAAAAAAAAATTTACCTCTTCGACGCAAAGACGCTGTGTCGTCTGAACACCCAGGTCGACCTTTACATCGATTTTGTTGAAAGGCGGGAGTACAGAAGCGACTTAGAGGCTCAATTGCGGAGGTGGGATGGCGGTCCGGCAGAGAAGCACGACGGAAAGGAGCCCATCTCCCAAGGGCGAAGTAATGTAAGGCAAGATGGCGAAGAAGATAGTAGGGAACAGCATAGTAAGGAAAAATCTACCGAGGAGCAACCTAGTGACAGAAAAGTAAATGATAGAAGACGGAGCGATGGGCCACCCCGTGCGCACAGTAGAGTCCACCTCCAGTCGAGATTTATACAGTCCCTGCTGAGGAAGAAATCCAACCTATATTGCAGCTCCCCAGGAGAAGTGGAACGAATCCATTGTGAGAGCTTTTACTTCCAGCATGCGTTGAAGCAGGTCAACTATCTGTGCAATTTGCTCGTCTATATGCACTTCATTCTTTTGAAGTATGTGTCTATTTTCTCCCTCTCCGAGTGGAACGCTCTGCTGTTTCGCGATATCGATTTGTTTAACTGCGGGAGCTGGGGGCGCTCCCCCGGGGAAGCGGCGGAAGTGACACAAGCCGCAGATCCGATCAGCGAAGTGAAGGGTGATGTGGAAAAGGCCCTAGATGCGACGAACGAAGTGACACAAGCCACAGATCCGATGAACGAAGTGACACAAGCCACAGATCCGATGAACGAAGTGACACAAGACGCAGATCCGATGAACGAAGTGACAGAAACAGCAGATTCGATGAACGACGCCCTTCCGCTTGGCAAACCGGGGGCAGGAGAGTCCCAGGTATACGCGGGGGACATGGAAAATGAAAAGAGCACAAAGGGGGGGGATGTACCTCAAAGTGACGGTGTTACTGAGAATCCGGGTGAGACTCCCCTAGACGCAGAGACGATGGAGAAGCTGAACCCGCTGATCATCAATAAGGAAAACACGATTGATATAAACTACTACGAGTATGTGATCGAACCCTTCGATTTTTACTTCTACGAAAATGTGTACAATGAGATATGCGCCTACGTGCAGATGGTTAGGAGTAACGGTGAGACCAGCGGTGGGGCTGCCTCCAACGCGACGGCGCAGCTGCTGAAAACGCTGCCCTACCAGTACCATGAGTTCGTGGAAATCCTAAATAAAGAAATCATGAACGTCAGGGATCTGATATATCGAAACAGATACATCCGATACATGTTCTATTACATTTATCGAAACAACAGTGACAACCTTCTCGACTCAGTAAATCATATTTTCAACATGGAGAAGAAGAAACTTCAGCTATATAAATTGCAGGTTAAGTTAAGGTACAACATATTTTTGTCTCGTTTTTTTGAGCATGGCTACATGGTTGTGAATTGTCCTGGTGAGGAGAAGATGGATGAGTCGTCTGAGTCGTGTGGAGTGAACTTCATCGAAGCGAAGCAGAAGTTGTTTACGTGTCTGTTTGAGCAGTATAGGGAATATTACCGTGCGTATCAGGCGAGGGTGCAACGGCTTCGGGAGGATACACGGAAGGTGTTTGGCATCCCCGAGGAGCGGTTCCCCTACGTGAGGAAGAAAATCAACTTTTACTCGGAGCACTTCGAGGAGTTGAAGCGACGCTTCGCTCTTCGCCTGGGGGAGGCGCCAGAAGCGGTGGAAGCGGTGGAAGCTGCGGACGGGGTGGAAACGGTGGAAGGAGGGGAAGCGGCAAAAGAGGCAGAAGCGGCGCAGGCGGCGAACAGGGCTGCTGCGAATGGAACGAACATGACCGAACCTCACGAGCGGGAGAAACTCACCTTCGACGTGTCGTACGACTACGTGGAATATATGTTCAATAAGAACTACGCGCTGATCATAAACAGCGAAAAGAATAACTCCAGGAAGTTAAAGGCCGCGTACATCGTGAACCGAAATTTGAAGGATAGAGAGAACCTCGTAATCGTGACGTCCATACTGAACGTCATAAAGTGGAAGAGTCTCTTCGGAAGCTTCGACAATGTGACTGTGTATCTGAATGAGGAGAGCATTCTTGACAACAAGATAGAGACTCAGGAGAAGAATTTAATCATCTGTGTCGACTTCTTACCGAAGATTCTGCACGTCGCCTGTCATGCGATCATCCTTGACATGTCTCACTTCAATTTGCTCAATAAGATTAGTATTCTGAATGACCTTCGTTATTTGGGCTTTTCCAAAAGGATAATCATATTGAATAACGTGTTGGCTGAGAATTGGAACCTGTTGTCGTCTCTTTTTTTTCTTAACAGTGCCCTTTTCGGCAGTACCATCGTTTCGAGGATCCAGCTGAGTCAGAGTCAGGAGGATAGGAGTGCGTTGACTGACTTGATGCGGAGCTTCGTTGGGCACTTCTGCGTCATGAATAAGGAGGGGGTCGACCCGCAGAGTGGTGATCGAAGCGGTGTTAGAAGTGATAATCAGCGCGATGAAGTGACTGCCGAAGAAGTCCCCAGGTCACGGAACAGACGATGCTTCCTCATAACCTACATGAGCGGCATACAGAAGTTCATTTACGATAACGTGAGTGACGAGGACAAGTGGGACGCCTCCGTCCATCCCTTGCTGCTCCTCGACGAAAACAACTTCTTTCTGAAAGATTTTAACATTTCGGAAAAATTTGATTTGTTGAAAAACATCCTCAAGAAGTTTCACATGCTGAAGAAGCGGATCCTTCTCTGCTACTCTGGGAAGGACAAATTAGAGAAATTAATTAAGATCCTACTGTATGTGCATTTGCTGAACGATGCTTCTAGTGTGTCTTCCTTCGACGTCGAAAGGGAGAAGGACTCTCTAAACGTACAGCAGTACGACGTGGCAGTGGTAGTAAACAACCACATAGAATACTTAACGTATTTTGAAAATCGGCACATTGCATGCTATCTGCTCATTTCGGCGTTCACTAAAGAGGAGGAAGGGATATTGGACACCTTTAAGGATAAGAAGGAGATTCATTTTTACAAGAAGAAGAAGGAAGAGTTAATGCGATCGCGTAAATCATGCAGAGATGGCATATACAGATACTACATCAACAATATGATTTCAGAGAATGACGAGCAGTTCTTGCTGTTTAGCATTATAGACCAGAAGGAGAAGGTCTACTGCAACACCCCCTATGACGAGGTGGTGCTTCCTACTTGCTTCGTCTCGACGCTGGCTCATTGTGAGGCGGCCGTTGGTTACTCGGGTATGTGCTAGGCGGGAGCGCTGCATCAGCAATGTGTCTGCAGTTTGTGCGTGAGCAGTGTGCCTCCATTCTATGCATCCAGTTTATGCCTCCAGTTTGTGTCCCCGCGCTGCTGAACACCGATGCACACTGCTGCACGCTGCTTATCTACTTCCCATTGTTCCAGGAGTATTCATTCGACCGTATAACCTCCCCGCCCTTTCCTTTTCCCACCCTGCAGAGCATTGGCAGGACATAAAGAACGCCCACAGCTTCTGGAATTTTAACAACTTCAATCCAGACAAAGTCATCTTCTACCTGGACCGGAAGAACACCGTGTATGATAAGTACCAGAATGTGGTATGCCCCATGTCCGAGGAGTACATAGCCCCCCCCCAGGTTAGTTATCGCGTCGGTTTGCGAAGAGGCGGGAAGGAATACGGAGCCGTTTGATAACATATATATGTCCCCTTCTGCGCGATGCGTCTCGATCACTGCCAGTAACGCGACATACCGACGCCACCACTGCCAATGACGCTTCTATATCCCCCCCGGACGCAGATCTACTACTACCTGACGAACCCGATGAACGAGAAGAACACCTTCAACAACTGCCTCTCCTTGGCGATCGACGAAATTATAAAGGAGCTGAATCGCAAGAAGGAACTGGACGAGTTTGACGAGATGAAGAAGCGGACTCTACTGAACATTAAGGAGAAGACAAGCAAGAAATATTTTTCGTCCATCCGGAAGGTGGAGAAGATTCTGTCCGAGTTTTTAAAGGAGAACAAGAAGAAATCCTTCGAGCGCTTTTTGAAGGTATGCCCGGGTGTACAGGTGGCATGGAAGCGCAACGAAAGGGGCGCGGAAGCGGCGCACCTGAGCAGCGTGTCAACAGCACATGTTATTAGCGTCGTGTTAGCCGTGCATCTTACCTACATGCGTGGACACCTTTCGTCGGCTTCTCCCCGCGCACGACTCATCGTTTTTCACGCCCTGCATTCTCGACGTAGGGCTGCGAGAGCTACGGACAAGTGATCACCAAGTGCAAGGAGAAGCTATTCGTCACCTTCAACAAAACATACAACATTCACTTTAAGTACTTTGAAGATTTCTGGCTTGACGAGGAGAAGAAGCGAAAGGAGAAGTGGAGGAAATTATGGGATCTGCACGAGGCCAAGGGGAAGGAAGACAACAACAGGAGCGGCAGCGGCGGCAACAACAACGACAATAACAACCGCAATAGCAACTGCAGTAGCGGCGGTTCATTGGGGGAGAATAACCCTGGTAATGGCGCCCGTGCAAGTGGCAGCATCGAGGAGGCTAACCTCATCAACATCAACAACGTCTTTAACACCACCGTGAGAGAAAAAAATGACTCCAATGACAGCTCCCACACAAACGACGCCTTTGCCAACAGCGACACAAGCAAGAACGAGTTAAATTTTCTTGAGAAGAAAAACTTCCGAATTAGACTCTCATCGAAATTGTTTGATGAAAAGGAATTCGACCAGCTGTTTGTGAACAGGAAAAAGATATGTCTGACTAATGGCGACAGCAAGAAGGAAGATAACAACTCCTGCTCACTGGAGGAGAAGAAGGAGAAGGAGAAAGACAAGAAGACCTGCTTGTACATCGAACGGAAGGAGGGTGATGAGCCTTGCCAAGTGTAGCCGCATCAGAGGAAAAAAAAACACACACATATATATATATTTACACATAGTACATGTATACGTGTACACATGAGCTTGTCCGCCCAATTCTGAAAAGAAAAAAAAAAAAACAAAAAAAACAAACGATTTTCTAGCGGGGGTAAAAAGAACAGAGCCACGAAATGCATCCGAGACATTTTGCAAAAGAATCCCGAATGCGTTACTGAGAGGGCCAAAAGGAGAAGCTGAGAAAAGGGACACCCCTTTTTGTTATGTCCCCCCCGTAAAACCTACTTAATGTATTTTACACCCCAATGGGGGTGAGGAGTGCGTTAAGAAAAAAATTTACCCATGTGAATGAACATGCACAAAATGAAGGCGTTAAAAGAAACAGAAAAAGAAGGCAGTCACTTACCGTCCAAGGAGATCCAATGAAAAAGAATTAAAGTATTCGCGCGCAGTATAATAAGGGTTATACAGGGGCAGGCACATTTTGCATACTCCCGCCAAGGAAATAGGAAGAGATTCAATTTTTAACATTTTTGCCATTACCTTCTTGTTTGACGTTTTTAAGATTTTTTGCATTTTGCTTTTCCCTTTTTGCTTTTCCTTTTCCCTTTTTTTGTTCTTTTTTTTTTTTTTTTACCATGGACATTCAAGAAAAGCTGCACGAGGTGAAGAAGCTGCTGGAGCTGCAAACCTGCAAGAACGACGAATCGAGGGAAAGTCTGATAAAGCTTATGAGGGAATTGTATTTGGCCTATATGCTTCACCGGACCGAGGAGGTGAATAAATTTTTGAAAATACGGCAAAGAGTGGAATGGGAAATATAGCACCAGAGGGGGCTACAAAAAGGAGGAAAAAAAAAAAAAAAAATAAGAAAAACATGTGCTGCATGGGTATGTAAACATGAGTACAATGCTTCAAAGGCGCAAGACAAAATTGCAGTGTAGCCACTTTGCCACTCATGATGTGTGTGTTTGTGGTCGTTGTCCCGCTCCCTATTTTTCATATTAAAATGGGAAAAAGGAGAAAGAAACCACTCTGGCAGACTACACTAGCACAACCCGCTGTAATGTTTTCCCTGTGTGGTGCATACGCATAGATACAACGCTTGTGTGTCCACCCCCATTTGCATGCGTACCATGGGATGCTAATTAAAGTTTGAATTTTACACCTGTCAAAGAGCAAGAATAAAGGATTCTGCGTTATTAGATGGTCTTCCCATTTTTATTTTATTTTATTTTTTTAATACGTTATTTGCAAACCTTCCAATGTGATGCTTCCTTGTCCTTTTTTTTTTCTTTTACCTTCAAATGTGAAAGAGAATACCCATTCAACCACTTCGCCATTTGTTCCTCTCGTTTTTTTCTTTTTAATTTGCTTCCGTTCGTTTGCGAAAATGATGGAGGGGTTCGCCAGAGCGAGGCCCACAAACTGTGGAAAATAGACCGCGGACACGGAGCTGCGGAAAGCGCTTTTAACGTTTGACCTTTGGTGTGGTCTCCCTAGAATGAACCGATTCTTTACGACTCCAGTTCTGCAAAGATTCCTTGACGAGACTTTGCTGGTTCTGCGTCCCACGTGGTGTGTGCGTGTTCCGCATGGTCTTTTTTTTTCTTTTCTTTTTTCTTTTTTTTTTTACCGCTTGTTGTTAATAAAAGTTATGAACGAGTCAGGCAAAAAAAGAGCCATGCGAAAAAGCTAGCCAGAGTGGGGGGCCAATTTGCACACACGCATGAATATGCATATGTATTATATAGACATCCTCATACACAAGAGAACACCCCTGAAGACGGCCCCCCGCATGACATACCCATTTTGACACTCTCCCTTAACCACACCTCCCCCCTTTGTGCTTTTCTTTTCCCAATTTGCAGGAGAGAAGTAAAAAACAGAAGGCCATTCTTCGCCTTCTGCTTGTCCATGTGGACAGCGAAAGTCACACGAACAATAGAGAAAAGATCCTAATGGTGAATTTAATAAGGCTAATTGAAAAGGATGCGATGGAACTTTTTTCCTGCTATCCAAATATTTGGAAAGGAAACAACTCCACTTTTTTCTTTTACATTTTTGAGGCACAACATGTTGAGAAAAATTTCAGCAGCAGTTTTTTCTCCCTCCTTAAAATTTCACAGAGCGCTTACAAAAATGTGTATATAGCTTTGCTGCTGTTCAGTTCCAACGACTTTGAAACGAAAATGAGATGCCTGAAGTATGTTTTTAACCAGTGTGTACTGAGTGATGGGAATGCAGATGATGGGAAGAAGGAGGTCGGGCAAGTAGAACGCACGATCTCCTTCACCGAAGCAACAAAATATTTCCACTTCCTATTGGAGGAGAACGAACCTATAAACGTCGAAAGACATATGAGTTGCTTCTTCTTTTCTGTGATAGCTGATTTGATCAGGAAAGACTACGTCGCGCTGCTGAGGGAGAGGTACTGCAGAGAGGGTAGAACCCTGACGATAGGCGTCCCTCTTGGGGGTGATGGTGGTGGTGGAGGCATATCATGGGGAAGCCAACACAAATATGAACAATTTGGTGCATAGAGACACATGTGCATGTACCTACATACCCGACGACCACCACCATATGTCATCATGAAATTGGGAGCTGCGGCGAAAGGGGATACCACTCCGCCCACAAAAAGAATTGCTCTCCCCTGGAGCTACGCCACAATGCAAGGTGGTAACATTCGACCCGTTCACTTTTCAGGAAAAGGGAGAAAGACGAACTTCGGTTGAAGCTCCTGGTGAAACGGATGATCAGGAAGAAGTCAAAAAGGAAGAAGGAATATGTGAATGACCTAACTCTCTACACTGCCAGTAGAAACATTTTAAGTGCCTACTTTGACAAGAATGAGGATGCCATTATTAGTGAACATATGAGGGGGGGTGAACAAAATGTGAATAAGAAACAACTCGCACAGGAGAGCCGAAAAGGGGACTGCCTTAACGGGGAAGGAAGCAAAAAATTAATCACACCCAAAAGGGGAAGCACACACTGCAACGGAGAAACAGAAGAAGAAGCAACCCTATGCTGCACCATTGAGAAGCACTACGATGTAGACTTCCTCAAGGGCATTTTCTTATATGTAAAAGACATGATAAATACATATTACGAGATTTTTGAAAGGGATAAAAAAAGCAGCTCGGTTGAGATGAGGAGAAATTACTTCACCTGTTTCATCACCCATAGTATAACCATCTTGATTCACCTATGTCTGATGAACGTGGACTTTATCAGGAGCTGCTATGAATTGATAAAGGATGTTAAAAAGAAATTTGCAGCTCACATGAACACATCGATCGTCATTTTTATGGCAAAATTTATTTTATTCTTCTCCTCACCGGAGAATTTTTTCCAAGTGTCTAATTATCTCTTTACCCACTTCGTAATGGAATTTAAAAATTACCTTCTCGCCGTAACCTTTTTTGACTTCATCATGAGCCATATTACCATCCTTCATCAGAGGAAATTTTTTTTTAAAAAATTCTGCTCCATCATTTTGAAGACCTATTTTTTTCATCACCATATTTTCAAGCATGACTTGATTGCCCTTTTTCCTTTCTTAATTTATGAGAAGAATTACAAAGACGTTTTTTACTTCCTTCTGTACGCCCCCGTTTTAGTGGACCTGGGCGAAATGGTATTACAGTGAAGAAAAAAAAAAAAGGAAAAAAAGCTGCTGATGCCATAGGTGGATTCTCTCCCACTCTATTTCCTCGTGGGATGTCGAATAATTCCCCAGTGTGTATATAGCTTACTAGAGTTGCAGAATTTTTATGTGCTGCGTCTACCCTAAACCTGCACATAAGTATTTTTCTTCTTCTTTTAATCCATTTACGACTGTACAGGAAAAAACCGGAGAGGTGAATTCACAGAAAGGAGGAAGCAGACTCTCTCCCACGGGTAGCGATTTGAGGGGGACCCACAAAAAAGGTTCGTTCGTCCATGTGGAGTTGGGCAGGAAGAGGCGGTGCCCTCCTCATGCAGCGATCGCTCCTTTTAAAATTCCTCTTCCTTGTTTCTTCTCACACATTCCACATCACTGTGCGTCGCTTCCAAATATATCTTTCCTCACGCAGAGGTGCTCATCCAGGACTTAGACGGCCTCACAGTTCGCGGGTAGGCGTTTTTATCTGGGCGCATGGCGATCCCCCTGAGTGGACTTTTTTACCCTTCCGCCTCAGCTAGGCGCACATTCAGTGCACCTCATCTGCATAGTGCTCCACCAACCACACACATACAAAAATAGATACAAACGCTTCTACACACACATACAAAAATAGATACAAACGCTTCTACACACACACACATAGAAAGACACATAAACCCACTCTGCAGAGACGCGAAGAACAAGCGGCGCAGGCAGGACATTCGCGAAAACATGCACAAATATTTCAGGGCCTACTTCGAGACGGTACTGAGCAGCAGGGGGAGTGGCGGTGAAGGTGGCGATGAGATCGGCCGTGAAAGTGGCAGTGGGAGCTCCCCCTCCTGGAGGCACGAACTAACAAAAATCATTTTGCTCAAGTTGACTTGCCCCGAAATTCTAGGAATACTAAATAAGGAAAGCATAAAGGAGATGCTCAGAAATGTTAGCCACTCAGTTCGCTGTAATCCAAGTCTCTTGATCCTGCTGAAGGAGGAGTTTCTACACTTATTGAAAAATGAATCTTCCACGTACTACCACTTCATCAGTGCAAAAGTTCTGCAGATAGTAGCGGAGAATACGAAACGTATGGACATCACTTATGACGACATTGAGAAGTATTACTTCACCTTGCATTCCTTTTTCTGTGGGAGAGATTACACGAAGGTAAAGTTTTGGGTGTCCTTAATTCATGCCCTTACCAACATAGCCATATATTGCTACGACTTTTCCGAAAATGTGTTACGTATGTACGAGGCATTTCTCTCCAGAAGCGACGTAACTCTGATGCTGAAGCATATCGTCACTGAGCACATTGGGATGATAAAGAACGTATCTTACGCAAAGGGGGGGAGAATTCCCTAGCCCCGCAGGATAATCATTTGTGTTTTTACCGTATAGGAGACGCGTCTGCTTGCACATTTGGTGGAAGCCGCCTTTCCGCGCGCCTCCAACCATGCGTGGTGAATTAAAAGAAGGAAAAAAAAAGACATAGTAAAATGAGATAGCTCAACGCAACACAGCTAAACACAAGACAGCAGAATACAACACCTGGGGACAAGCACACCTTGCAAAACAAACACCCAGTGGTACACATGACCGCTCGTCAAAATGAGGTTGACGCAGGGACGGACGTTTGGACGTAACCACGTTGTAGTAGTGGAGCAAAATCGAGCAACTCCTTTTTCTAACAAAAAAAAAGGGTCCGCTCAAAATGGGTGCCAAACTGGGTGCACCGAGAAAAATAACATAAAATCGAATAAAATAAAAATGGGCCTTCCGTCTGATGCACCCTTCTACGGATTGGCAGCGCGCGGAGTGGCCTGCTGCACGTTCGCATTTGGACCCGCAGTGGCACCTCCTCCGGCAGTCATTTGCATCTGTCTCTTCAACTGAATGTAATTTTTGCAAAGGTCTATTTCGTTTTTCTTCTCTATGATGGTAATTTTGAGCTTTTTTATTTGTTCATTTAGCTTGCCTATTTTGTTATTGAAATACTCGATGGTCTGTTTGGCGTTCCTCTGCACGTAGTAGTTCGTCCCCATGCGTATGAGGAAGTTCTCCGTGTCGACGATTTTGCCTAAGAGGCGGTAAGGCGGTACAGCAGTAAAGCGGTGCAGAAGTAAAGCGGTGCAGCGGAACGGCGATCTTCCCTCGCTGGGCACCTCGCTGGGCCGCTAATCAGCTAACCCGCGAACGCGTCTTACCTGGGATGTAAACCAGGGACGTCAGGGGGATGTGGACATCCAGCGTCTTCTTCTTCTCCTCCTCTTCTGCATCCTTCTTGTTAATCTCGATCTGGTCGATCAGCGTGTCGAGCTGCTGCAGGCTGTCCTTTGCTTTGGTCTCTTCACCTTCGCTCAGTAGTCTCCTACCAGCTGTTTGCTCCCTATTGCAAAGTTTTATCAGTTCGGATCGCTCCAATTCATTCATAAAGGCATTGAAATTTTTTGCTTCAAACTTGCTGGGGTTTAATTGCTCAACGGAGTTTTTACACTTATCGTATGTCACCACTGCGCCTTCCAAGATGGCGTAATTCTTTTTTATTAGCTTCCATTCCTAGGGGGAGGAGGGGGGGAAAGAAACGAAAAGGGAAGAAAGGGGAGAGCCACATAAATACAACGCTTAACCATTTGAAGAAGAACAAACTGGTGCATTCTTCCTACACATCAAGGCCACGTAACTAAGGGGGTTAGCAAAAACAGACATATGTATGCAGTTCCAGCATCATCTCCCCATGGAAAAAGCACATAATCATACCTCTTCCAGTTTCAATGTTAGTGATATCAGCTCGTCTAGTCCTAGCGAATTCAACTGAATGACGACGTTGGGCTGCTCCCGCTCCTTCTCCTCAATCTTTTCTAAATCGCACGCCATTGTAGCAGGTGAAGAATAGACAAACGGAACAATACACGCAGAAGAGCGCAAAGAAGCAGTTCATTAAGCTGACTACGGGGTTGGGGGGGGTGCGCCAGGGGGAGGAATGCCAACTACGTGTGTGCTGTTTTGGTGCTTCCGAAAGATCGGTGGTGAAGCTTCGCGTCAGGGGGGCCAGACCACACCACGGATGGAGAAGTAAAGGGGAGATAGCAGGCAACAAAGGGGCAGATAACATCCAGATAATACACAAGGGGGCCTTCCTTGGGGGGTCCTCTCACACTCCTCCGTGATGCCAAACGGCGCGCACGCTCCCAAAATAGCAAGTGCTGACGTGCAGCGAGGACATACCCCTCATCAGCTTCGGGACGACGTATCAAATAAGCTCACACAAACACACAGTTCCCAACTTTGTATGTTTTCCTCACCATAGGGAAAAAAAAAAGAAAAAAAGAAGAAGAAACTGACGAGTAAAATTGCCGAATGTAGCAACGTACGTACGAGGAGCTATGAAGTGCCACGTGGCGAAGTAGCGTGTTTCCCCATGCGGCGGCAGAGAAAAAAGTTCCTCTTACAAAACTTACTCATTCGATAGGGCACTGCAAGTTGTGTAATAACTGCAACTGCGCGAGGGTCCTCCTCCATGTGTCACTACCTTCTCACGTTGTGCTGAAGCAGAGATGAAACGGAAAGTGGGAAGATGTGGCGTAAAAGTGCCTATGCTTTAACCGGGGGACGGAAAAATTCCCTCACATGCACGAAAATGTATGAAGAAAAAAAAAAAAAAAAATCGCACAATGCGAAGCCAAGGCGACCAAAGCTATTCTCAACATTTTTTACGAACAAGCCGAAATGGGGAATCCAGCGAATTATGGATGATAAGCTATATTTTTTTTTTCTTCTTTCTTACCCAATTTACAACACCTCAAATTAGAGCAAAAACGGCGAGTGGATTTAACCACCCAGGTGAATCGAAGCAACCCAGCTGAAAACGCAGCGAGGAAAAGAAATTCATCCGAGCAGGGACGTACCTCTACGTGCACTGCAACCCAGGAGAAAATATAGTCCCCACGTCATTTCAGTAGGAGGAAGTCTTCCCGCCCTGCGCAGTCATTCGGGGTTGTTTCTCTGCGACTTGAGCGATACATAGGGGTTAGGGACATACCACAAAGGGTTGCTTCCGCGCGGGCCGAACTTCCCTGGGACCAACACATCTCCCGTCGCATACGAAGCACACAGCGTCTGCAACTGGGGGGAAAAGGTGCCCCTCAGAGGGATACTCCGAAGAAGGACACATCTGCCGCGGAGTGGCTTCACCGATTTAGCTGCGACTGTGTCATTCCACCGCGTAATTCCACCGCATAACTCCCCTGCGCCAAATGGACCACCAAGACCTGAAGCCCGTCATCTGGCACAAAACGGAGAAGAAGCCCAAGCCGAAAAACATAGGGGAGGCGATAAAGCTAGGCATCGATGTGCAGGTGGAGAAAAAATTCCTCGGAGGGAAGAACAAATCTTGCAAGGGAAATTTAATAATAGAAAACAAAGCCAAGATAGAACAGGAGACGGAAAATTTCAAGATTGACAGAGTCACTCCGGTCTTTTCCAGAGCCCTGCAGCAAGCTAGGATTAACAAGAAGCTAACACAAGCTCAGCTAGCTAGGCTAGTCAACGAAAGTGAGTCCGTTATAAAAGAATATGAGAATGGCAAGGCCATCCCAAATAATGTCATTATTCAGAAGCTGAACCGGGTCTTGGGCATTAATTTACCTTCCCCGAAGAAGAAGTGAAAAAGTGGAAAAGTGGAAAAGGGGAAAAGAGGAAAAATGAAAAAATGAAATCATGCACCGTCGGATGAGGACATTAGCAGAAAGGACAGCTTCTTACCTCATGAGGGTAACCACTGACTTAGCGGTTGGCTTCTCTCTCAAGCGGCCATCTTACCTCTAAGTGAGCGTGCCGACAGGGCTGTATATACTCATGTGGAGGTGTCGCATAGGTCACTTACGAAACAGTCTTCTCAGTCCGTTCTCAACGGGAGCAGTTGGACTATAATTAGCAGTGAAAAGAGGAAAAGTTTTTTTTTCCCCCAATACACCCAGGGAACCATCCTGCAGTGGCAGTTGTAACAAAATGCGCTGACAGATACGACGGGAAGGGAAGGGAAAGGAGAAAAAAAAAAAAAAAAAGAATTCCCCCACTTTTGCAGCACTGAAAAGGATGACGTACAATACAATGCATTAGGATTATTCCGCACTTTGTGTGTAACCGCTACAGCGCTTGAGCATTTTTTTTTTCTTTTTTTTTTTTTCACCGCGGCGTCCATTTTTTCCATGTGATTTTTAAATAATTATTCAACTTTTATGTATCTCTCAATGGATAGAATTGGCATATGGGGGGCACTCTCCGCGAGGTGAACGTGAGACCCCCATTTGTATTAACCCGAAAGGGAGAGAAATAAAAAAAAAAAAAAAAAAAGAGATACCCTTTCTGTGGTACTCTTCCTGTGGGGGTCACCCTTTTGCATTTCTCCTGGAGTCGCTATATCTCCTTTCATTTCGTCTGAATCCCTCCACTGTCACAAAATGTGCGAGGAACATCCGGGGCTGTCTGCGTTCACTTCATGTTGGTACGGCCCGACGAAGATGTAGCAGTCGTTGTACGCCCACTGCAAATGGGGGAAATGAATATTGGCAACACGTGAGGATTTGGAATGCTGTTGTGTCGTTACGGGGGTATCCCTATTAAGGAGGAGGTGCCTCTATGCGTCTCTATACGTGTCTATACGCCTCTATTCGCTGCTACACCGGGGGGAGGATCAGCCCGGCGCTGTTTCCCCATACCGTTTCCGCGTTATGCTTGATGGTGGCCATCTGACTCGACTTCACCGACACAGGCACGGGCGCGGCGTAGGGGTACTGCAAGGGGGACAAAGAAGAACCACGAAGGGGGAAGTGAGAGGGATGAACCAAGTCCAGCGCGCTTCTACTCAGAGGGCGCTTCTACGCGGAGCCAGCCAGGGAATTTAACAGAATGCTTAATCGATGGACATCCATTATATGGTGTGTACCACCGGTTTCGCCGTGGCGCAGCGCTTACCTCGGCTACCCCCCCTGCGTCATCTCGATTTATGAAGTAGGAACCGGGGTAGAGGGAGCTGCTCCAGTTTTTCTTATTCAAATGTAGATGCCTTATAGAGGTGACGTAATTCAGTAAGTCCTTCTCTATGGCAATCCCAGCAAGAAGTCCATGTGAAAATGCCAGCGAATTATCAAAGTGGGTTGGGATGCAACAGTTTATTTCTCGATCTATATTTTTCACGACACAGTTAAAATGGTGGAGGTAGTCTATGTCACTATACAGTTTGACATTCTTCGGAATGACGTTAGTGTGGACATATCTCATGTGTGCATCGAAGGAGTACAGTTCGTTGATTTGCTTAGCCTGCTCCATTAGTTCGCTTATGTGTTTTTGGATTTGCTGTATGAGGACATATTCAAAATTGGAGTCCACCTCGTCATCGTGTCGGTTCTCCTTGCGGAGTAGCTTCTCCTTCACGGACCTGGTGCAGATGCGAAGCAGGTCTGCGCTTTCGTCGGTCAGTTTGGTGAGGGGCCTGCATGGGGGGAAGGCGGTAAATGGGGAAAGCGATAAACCGGGGAAGCGGAAAATCGGGGAAGAGGCGTCGTGCCAATTAAGCGGCGTTAAAGGGGTGGGAAGGCGATGGGAAGATGACGTCTCCATAACCGCTACGCTGCTCACCCTTCCGAAATGTCCTCCTCGTTTATAATCCGGTCGAGCTCCTCTCCCTCGCGGATGTTTTCCTCCACGTCGGCAACCAGACGCCAGAAGTCACTGATGTTGAGGAGCAAATTGGAGCTGAACAAAATAGTGCCGTAAAATTTCTTCCTATTAATTCGCTCGATGATAATAAAGCAAAGCTGCTGCACGAGATCCCCTAGACTCATCATCTGATATTTTATGCATTCCCCGACGAGACAGATATTGCAGTGGGTTTCTAACTGGATGGACAATAAGGACAAGGAGGAGATATTCGTAGGTACCTTAACAAAGTAGTAGTAGTTACCTGCATTAACAGCACAGCTCTGCAAATTGCCAATAAGGTCACTCATGGTGTGAATCATGGAGTGGTAGCCGATACTACATTCGATCAAATTTTTGTGGAAGCTGTTATATAGAGACACAGGAACCGTCGTGGTGATTTTTAGATCAAATTTCTTCTTCACAAACTGATCATTCAGTATGTTCATAAGGCTGATGACTTTTTCATCTCCGATAAAGACTAAGTTTCTAATTTTGTTCTGATTACAATTTTTCACTATCTCGTTGATGTGTTTTTCTTGAACCAGGTCATTCAGGTGCACTACCTCTCCGTCATCTTTTCTCCACTTGAGTTGTACCCCCAGCGGGGAAGCTCCACCTAAATTTATCCAATTGCTCAGATGGCTATCTTTAAGGACATACGCTTCGTTAGTGAGTAGTCCTTTTATACCCCTCATAAAAGCAATAAGCGTTATATTGTTCATAGACAGTCTCTCGTGTAGCCCGGCTAGAATGTTATTTACTCCCGGGACGCTATGCGATAGGATGGCAACTCCTACGTTTTTCTTTTCCGAAACAAAGGAGGAGTCGCTGCATCGGATTCTCCCTTTAACACTGACATGGGGATCCCTGACGACGTAAAAATCGGTCATCTTATCTATGTGTTCAAATGGGGTGTAATTTAGCTTCGATTCGAAGTGGCTGTCCACCAAAACCACTTCGCTGTTGTGTCGCATGAGCGTCGTGTTGAACTTCACAGGCGTCTTGCTCAGGGCCCGCTCTATTTCAGAGGGGCAGCGAAACACCGGGAGGTGACTAGCGGTACAATTAGCGGTGCAACTCGCGGTGCGACTAGCGGTACAACTTCCGCTGCTCCTCGGGGTACCCTCAAGAACTACCCCATTTTGCACGAGGCAGCATGGGGTAAGCGCCTTCTCGCATTGTGCGGTGCTTTCCACGGTGCTCGAATCGACGCCGGAGGCGCCACCCCCAGAGAAGTAACCCCCGCTGAGCCCCGACACGGTGAAGTTCACCCGGTTAAATAACTCCCCCCACTTGGAATCCCACGTCGCAAAGGTACTCGAGAAGAGCCTGTTCAGCTTACTGGGGGAGTCCACCGTGTGCTCCTCGCCATCGTCTGCCACGCTCCGCTCGAACTGAATCCCCCCGTGGGTCCGGTACGTGTCTGCGTAGAGAAGCGCAGAGCGGTGCTTCTTATAAGTGAGAAAGTACGCACCCTTTAGGTCCACTTTTGCTCTTTTAACGAACACGGCGTTTTCGAGGTGATCCGATTTTCCGAGCTGATCCGCATTTTCCAGCTGATCCGTTTTTTCCGTCCGCTTCGCTGCGGAATCAATATGGTTGCATCCTTCCTCAGGTACCACCTTCAACTTCTTCCCCTCCTTCACCCGCAAGAAACTGCACAGTGGTACCCCCACGAGTTGGACCTTCTCCACGTTGAAGATCAAGTTTTTTAGTTTCCTGATGGCGCAGAGATACCCATTGTAGTTATTCTGGGCTATTTCGACACACCCCATGCCTAGGAGGTAACTGTAAGCACAGTCGAAGTTGGACGGTAGGGAACAGGTGACCTCGTCGGTGTATGCGTGCGAGACGAAGTGGATGTCTCTCATTTTGGTTTCCTCTATTTTTTTCTTCACGCAGGCTAGGAGCAGATCTTCTGTCTTTAGCCGGGTGTACTGAACAGTGTGTGTGGAGAGGAAACGAAGTGGTGATGACGCATATAAAGGGGAAGAGACAAATTTCAGGAGGGGATGCAAAAATAATAGGGTGCTCCCTACTCAAGAGGGGGCATCACAGAACATGTGACGGATGCCACAGCGACTGCCACATTCTTTCGGATAAACCCATGGGATAAGAAAATGAAGGAGCGGAGTGGAGACATACCTGGAACCTTTCGGACTGGATCTCCTCCAGGAGATGCTTCTGGAAGAAGGCGGGGAGGGAGCGGAATAGTTCCGCGCTGTCGTCACTGGTAGGACTGGTTGCATTGTCCGCAATCGTAGGAGTGTCCGCATTGGTTGTATTCTCCTCATTGTCTGCATAAAATTGGGCAACTATCCTTCTTCCCCCCTCCTCGACATTGGCTGCACTGTGAAGAGTCTGCTTCTTCGCCCAGAGGAGGGCCCTAACCATTTTTTTAAATTCCGCAATTTTTCCGAGGAGCCCCTCAGGTACAATGATAATGCCATACCTTTTTCTGAGCAGGTCATACCTCTTTTGGACAACATGGACGATGAAGTCTATTACATCGTTTAGTTTTTTTCTCTTCTTTTTAATTTCTTCGCTGATTAGAACAATGTTTGCCTTCGTCTGTAGGAAGCACTCCAAGGCGACATGACTTGAGGAGTTACCAATAACCCGGACAAAATGGTACCCACTCTGATATGTTCTCACATGGGATGTTAAGTGGCTTATATACTGACAGTAGGTAAAGACGGTCGTATCGAAGCCGAGGGAGCATTCTACTAGTTCGCTGTCCATCTCGTTGTGTACGCTTTTCGGTGCGCATACGATACAGGTTTTTTTCCTCCTTCGTTTCTTTCCTCTTCTGGGATACTTGGCCTTTATTTCTGCATCGCTCAGGTCGCTCACGATTTGGTACGTGGGGTCTTCTCCCTCATCCGTCGCATTAGCCACACCCCCCGCTAGGAAGTCCACCTCCTCGAAGTACTCCGCCAGCGCGGTGATTTCTCTCTGGCTGTCAACTCCCCCTACGATAATCAGCCCCACCAAGTCCAGCTGTCTGCAGATCTTAAAGCACTTCCTCTTTCCATTTTCACTTAAAGAATCGAACGAGCTAGTCTTCAGCATGTCGAACCCTCCACTGTTTCGAAACATACTAATGTATTCATTTTTCAGCTCCATAAAGGAGTAGTTTTTCACGCCTTCAAATCCGTTGATGAATCCAAACAAGGTGTTCTTTTTATTTTGCTTCTTCAGGCTGTCTAGAATCCCACATACGATGTTGTGCCCTCCTGGTGCTGGCAAGCCAGTGAATAACACCCCCAAGTTTAACGTCTCACCATCCTGTGTGCTCATGTGCACCATCTCCTGGAGGGTAGAATTGGATGTACAGTTCGCTGTGAAGTTCGCTGCGCTGTCCCCTCTGCATGTGTCGTCCAGCATTTTCGTCGCGTCTGTTTGGTCGAAGGATTTTTTCTTGTTAATGCCATTAGGCAGTGCGTTAGACAGTACGTTAGCCACTCTGCCCTCAGCGCATAAGTAAATCACGGGCTTGTTAAATATGTGGGGGAAGTGCCTCTCCAGCGCGTCTTCCCTTGGGTGCTGCCCCTGCTGCTCCTGCTTCTCCTCCCTGATGACTACCTTCCCCTTCAAAACACGCGGAAGGGAAATTTTCTTCTTCCTCCTCTCCTTCTGCAGGTCGCTCAGGTGCTTCTTGGCGTTCTCTATGTCCATGTTTGGATGTTTGGATGTCCAGGGGGGATGGGTGGCAGTGTGGAAGCGGATTTGCGGCGAAGTTGTGTGTGGATTCCTCGTTACCCCTCCCTCCAGCTTCGTGGTTCCCCTGAACGGAGGAACGCCAGAAGGGTTGCCTTGAGCTGTGGTCTCGACGTGGTACTACGGTTGGCGGGAGGGCAGCTTCTATAGGGTTTGTGTATGTGTGGGGGTAGTTAAAAAAAAGGCTCGCCTCAAAAAGAACCTCAGGTCTGGATGTTCCAATTGAACAATCGAAGGAAGGATAATTCATGCGAGGTCACCTCTACTTCTTTGCATAAAAAACAAAACGAAACGAATAAAAAATCGCAGACGTGTCCTTAAGCGTTTATGTGTGCAACGTGGGCTTCCTCCCCCTTGTGCTTTACCCACTAGACAGCGACTGATGTTCAGACGTTCACACACTCACACCTTTACACCGTCACACTGCCACCCCTTCAATTGAGACAACAATTGGTTCCTGGTCAGATAAACAGGAAGAGCTCCACTCATGCAGTGTCTCTCCGTGAGAATGCCCCTTCCCACCATATAGCAGGTAGGATTTACTTTGCAAAAAAAAAAAAATTCAATATATAAAATTAAGTCTACGGTTTAGGGTTTAAAAAGAGAAGAAAAGAAGAAGCACAGATGTTTTTTTGTCTACATGTGTGTGTATATATAGGGGTAGACTGACCAGTGGCATCTTCCCTTTTTTCTATTTTATTTTATTTTTCTTTCATATGGATTGTCATAATTTGTAAAAATGTAGATATACTACGTGGGGTTATATAAGATGATCTGCTCCCCCAGGGGAAGAACATCCGATCATCTGTTAAGTGTGCTTCTTGCGCAGTTAGCGTGGACTGAACGAAACTGCTTGCTGGACACTTTGTCAATCGAAAAAAAAAGGGACGCCGATGAAACAGACATAATGAGTGGCGGCACGCTGTGACGCCAGACCATGTGCCTCCACAGCATGTGACATCACCCCCCATCACGTCATAACTCGGAGAAATCATTAGAGTCATCTCAGAGCACCGCCCACCTGAGCTGGTACAAGTGCATACATCTAGGTGGGCCACTTCTGGGGGGAGCCATTTCCTCTGTACATACACCGATTTTTTTTTTTCTTTTTTCCCCCTGCGTAGAGTTTTTTTTTTTTGACCGGACCATTCCCTATCAAGCGCATTCTATACACCAGTGAATAAAATTTCCAAAAGGTACTTCAGCACGTATTCTATACCTGCCAGGGGAGGGGTGCAATAAAAGGAGGCTTTTAAATATGGGTCACAAAATGGGGGAGGAAAAACGAGTAACGGACAGAATGAACACTGGCGTGGGACACTCAAACGAAACGGATGAATGGCTATGCGGGGGGCATTACCTTCGTGGTGCAAGTCGCTTATGGCACTGGAAAGGAGAAGGAGGAGGGAGGGGGGGAAATGAATGGAAGATTGTCAATGTGCCTCCGGGGAGATGCAAAGGTGTAACTACAAATGCCTAAGTGCAAAAGTGTAACTACAAATGTGTAACTACATTTGGATTAGCCCTCACGGGAAGAGCGGCGAGGTGGCGTATGATCAATCCCCCCTCCACACCCAGGGATGAACATGTGCCGCCACTCCTGCCGCTCCCACTGCTTACCTCAATATTTTCTCCTTCTGAGCCTTTTCGTAATTCTCATAGTGCTTCTTAATCTTGTACTGCTCATAAATGCTGTCGATAATTTTTACACAGGCTAAGTTATTCTTGCCGTAATTTTTTACTATTTTTATCTTGTCCGATTCGGAGCATACTTCAAAGGTCTACGCAGTTGGAAAAACAGAAAAAAAGATAAAAAAAAAAAAAAAAAAAAAGGGGGACGAAGAGGAGGTGGTGAGTGAAGAGTGGGTAGGACATACATGGGTAGGGAGGAACAAAGGTGTGTTTTTTTTTTTTTTTTTCTTTTTTTCTTTTTTTTTTCTGTTTTTCCTTATTCGCTCTGTCTTTTTCGCTTCTCCGCGCGAGTTACCTTTACCAAGGGCCACGTCAATTTGTTGTTCTGAATGTCCGAGCCAACCTTCCCTGTCTTTGTGCTGTCTCCGAAGATGTCCAAATAGTCGTCATGGATCTGTGCCGCCGTGTGGTGTGTAATATATGATGTGTGTGTGTTTTTTTTTTTTTTTTTTTCGCGCAGGTGATTGATTATGTCTGATGATGCGTAACGGTGGAAGATTTCATCGCGGGGAAGCCACCTCCTGAAGGCGACCCCCCCATCCACTTCTCCCTGCTACTGAGACGTTTGACAACCCCCACCTGGAAGTACTCCCCCATTAACATAGAGATGTCTTCAATTTTTTTGTAAATTAAATTGTCTATGGATATTCCGGCTAGTAGCATTCCTATGGGGAAAGAGTCGCACAGGTGAGTGGAAAAGCGGAGAAACAGACATAAACTCATTATGGGGAGAGTTGTCTCGCGCGTGGACTTCTTGACAGGGTAAAAGGACACAAATATAAGTAGGGGCTCCCCCCTTTTTTGTGTGGAAATCTTCCACCGCACGGACCACACATAATGGGCAGAAAGAAGGAGTAATAGGCCGTCTTGTGGATAACTATATTTTTGTAGACCTTGAAATTGATCAGCTTCATATTAATGACTGGCTGTTCCGGCACGTTTATATTGTTCACGTCAATCTCTCGGTTCACATCAGAGTACTTGTCCGAAAAGATGTTCGTGTCGAGGTGCTGTCCGATGATTGTCTTTAGGGTGACGTCTCTAAAGGTTGAGAGGACGTCCACGTAGCAGCTCTCGTTCCGAAGGTATATTTCGATCAGTCTGGGGGTTCGCAAAAGGAAGAAATAAAATATAAAAAAATGAAAAACAAAATAAAAAAATAATAGGAAGAAAGAACGTGCAGGGCGGAGAAAGCCAAATCCACATCCATTAATGGCTTCTGCCCCAAAAGGGATAATGTCATTTTCCCATGGGGCCATTTCCCAATGACCCTTTTCGAGGCCTCTTACTTGTAAATCGAGTTATACAGCATCAGAATGTCGTTCACGGCGTTCTTCGTCTCCACGTCTTTTAATAGGTACCTGCGTTGGGGCGGCAGAAACAACAGCGACCACAGCGAGAAGAAGAAAAAAAAAAAAAAAAAAAAAAAAACGCATTCCGATGTGCAAACCAAGTTAGAACAAATGGACACAACTACGTCACATGTAGCCATATGGATCCTCCTCCCCACCAGCAGTATTTGTTCCTTCGCGTCTCTCCTTTGTCCATGATGTCGTCGGCCACTAGGAAGGAGGCCTGCAGGATTTCTATGCACCACGCTGCGGAGAAAGAGAAAAACAAGGGGTGGGCTTCGAGCGTGGGGAAACGAACAATAAGACCCCTTATAGAGGAAGGCCTCTATTTCTCTACGAAAAACGGTGCTTCCCTTAACAGGATTTCGCATTTGTGGAGGAGAAAAAAGGTGTAGCAAGACGGAGGAGTCAAACGGTGCAGTCGAACGGTGGAGCTCAGTTGAAACTCTCCTAAGTAGCCCCCTCACGACAAACTCGTCTTTACCCAAACAGGCAGCCTTCTCCCACTCGCTGTTGTTGATGTCTCTATTCTTGACATATTCGTAAATGAGGATGACTAAGATTCCTCTGTTGTTTTTTCCCCCTGCGGGAGGAGGCAAGAGAGAGAGTGAGAAAGGGAGACACACACACACAGACTAACTGACAGAGCAACGAGGCTGTCAGTTCATCGGGTGGCGGATGGGGCGCTTCCCTCGTCTCCGTTCAGTCGGTTGTCTGTACCGCATTGCGAACAGAGAGGAATCTTCTGTTTCGCCTTTACACACCACGAACACCCCTCCGTCACGTTCTATACACGACGAAAAAGGGGGCAGGACCTACCCAAGCAGTTGTAATCAAAAAGCACCTTGTAGTATTTTGAGATGTGCTCCTTGATTTCCTCTTCCAGGGAGTACTCATTCAGGTGGCTCAGGAATGCGTCCCTATACTTATCATACATCTGTGGGAATCGGACAACATAAGGAGAAGGGTGTGTAGGATTGGAACTACCAGCACCCACGGAGAAGTCTCCTCGAAGGGGACGGGGTTGCATGAGAGGCACAGGTTCATCCAGAGGTTACATTTCTAAAGAAGGCCAAGCCGCTATCCGCATCCTCCAAGTTTGTCTCCTTGATGTTTTCCCCTCCCATTTGTTACGTCGGTCCCTTGGTCAACCCAGGCACGCAACTCTGCGGTGCGGCTCTTATCCCTCTATGCGGTGAAATGCCCTGTTCTTAATTTCACTGCCCTGCGGTGGGAGAAGCACAAATAGGTCATTCGACTCTGCACTCATTCGAGGCTACACTGGGGGGGGAGATGCCATTTGGGGGGGATACTTGGAAATTGTCATTAACGTGGGGAAAAACAAGTAGGAAAGCAAAAGAAGAGAAAGAAGTCGGAAATAAAAAAAAAAAAAAACGAATAAGGGGGGTAGAAGATTGAATCCCTTGGTTGACCTACCCTCACGTGTTCCTTCTGCCGAGTAGTTGCCCTAAAAAGCTAATTAATGTCCGACGGGCCTCTCCAACTCGTCCTCATGTGCATTTTCGGGGAGAAACATTTGATGGGCTGAGATAATTAGGCGGAGAGGGGGGACGCAAATTTTTCCTTCACACTGATGAAGGGAGAGGCACCCGCTACACTTCCTGTTGGCAGTGTTGCGCTAACGGGTGGTGTGCGATCTTGTGCTGTACTGCGTTATGCGCGTGTCCGGGTTGTGATGTAAAGGAAGCCAAAGGAAAGAAGTGCTAGCAGAAGATCCCTTTTCTTTCTGCTTTCTCCCCCGGTGCGGTGGATTAAAGAAAAGAAAGGTCGCCTTCCCCTTGACAATGCGATAGACCCCAAAAGAAAAAAAAAATAGAAGGATAAAAAATAAAAAAAATAAATAGAAAAAAAATAAAAAAGCATACATTGGGCATAACCAAAAGGGAACATATGCAATGACACCCATTAGCGCCATTCTGCGCTTTCGCGAGGCAACCCAGTCTCAGTCCCGTTGTGGGGCATACGTATTACACGAACGGCGCGCAGAAGGAGTACAGCACGGGTGGGAAAATGTTCCCCCCCCAGTGAGCGGAATCAGCAAAAGTACTTCCCTCCAATTGTGCATCCAGAGTACCCTTCAAGGAGCAGCAGTACCCCCGACGCGGGCGCGGCAAAGTGGAATGGTCCACTCGGGGAAGGGCAGATTTACATCCAGTGAGGGGAGTCATTCAGGCAGTCATTAAGAAGCTAAAAAAAGAGAAAATAAAACAAGCAAATTCAAGTCCAAATATAGCTACCCCAACTGCTCTTACATTGAGGTGCCTCTTTAGAATGAAATTCCTACATGGCCCAATTTGTACATCCTGCCAAGTGACGGACCGAGGGAGAGCTACAGGCCACGGGTGGGATGGGCAAGCGGCGAAAAAAGGGGAAAGCAACAGGACGGGGTAAATAACACCCCGATCAGAAGGCAGCACAAAGAAAGGAGATCACAACCGGATCGGAAGGCAACACAAACGAAGGAGATCATAACCCGATCCACCGCCAGTCAGATCCATCGCCAACCCACCCGACCTGCCGCTTCCCGTTGGTGGCGCCCCCACCATGGACAGCGACTTCATCGACGAGGAATTCGTTCACGGCAAAGAGATAGAAAAGATAAAAAAAAAAAAGGAAGCAATTCTAGACTGCCTGAAAAGTGTGCTGGATCCGGACTTAAAAAAAAATATCGTCGAGTTAAATTTTGTACGAAACTTAAGAATTAAAGAAACGGACGGTGGCAACTATGTTGTTGACTTCGACTTGAACCTGACGACCCCTGCCTGTCCGGTGAAGGACCAACTGTTGGCGGAATGTCAGAAAAAATTAGCAACCCACGAATGGATTGAAGAAACGAACATAAACACGACGTTTCTAAATTATAATCAACATGGGGAAGAACAAGAAGAGGAGAAAAAAAAAAACAGAAAAATCGAAAATGTCATAGTTGTGTATAGCTGCAAAGGTGGAGTCGGGAAGTCCTTCTTTTCGGTGAACTTCTCCTTTTACTTAAAAAAGAAGGGGGCATCTGTGGGGCTGCTCGATGCGGACATTAACGGGCCCAGCCTTCCGACGTTGCTCCCCTTTGGACATTCCTACGCCAGGTTTAAGAGCGTCCAGCGGAGGAGCGGTAAGATATTTTACGAAAGGGGGGAGATGGGGAAGCGGGAAAGTCCCATGGAGGAGATGACGGAAAAAGGCGTGGGTGATAGGGAGGGCGAGAACGGAGGGGGGAAGATTAACCACATTAGCAGCTACGACGCAGACCGACACGCCGTGCATCATAGTGACCGCCTCCCGGAGGACCGCCTCCTGGAAGAGTTCCTTATCGAGCCCCTCCTCCACCACGGTGTGAAGCTCATGTCCTACGCATACATAAAGAATCAGAAGAACTTAGGGTTCGCATCCTTCAGAGGACCCATCCTAAACGAGCTGATAAAAGAATTCATAGACCAAGTGGACTGGGGAGTTTTGGATTATCTAATAATTGACCTCCCCCCTGGAACAAACGACATACATTTGAATCTCTTCGAATCGGAAGACATCGATGGGGTTATCATGATAACGACACCAAATGATCTTTCCATCAATGACGTAAAGAAAGGGATAAATATGTGTAATCATTTCAACGTGCCAATTGTAGGCCTTGTAATAAATATGAGTTCCTTTATCTGTGACGGGTGTGAAAAGAAACACCTTCTTTTTAATAACTGCGATTTGAAGGAACTAAAAGAGGCATTTAATAACGTGTATGAAGTCCCCTTTCATTCTTTACTCTCAAAGAATGTCTATCATGATGACCAAACAGGAGAAAGGCACTTCCCCTTTATCATTTCATTTGAGGATCATCACCTGATTCATATGTTGGAGAATATCTTCCAAAGTTTAACCCGCGAAATAGCAATGATAAAATTTATGCACAAATTGAATTTGCCATCCATTCAGATTTATAAGAAAAATTACCTCCACTTATCCTTCGACTCGATTGACAATAAATTTGTCTTTTCCGATGATGTGTTGGTTTGTCACATAAAGGATGTCCGTCGGAAATGTCCTTGTGATATTTGCAGCGTGTTGGAGAAGAAAAAAAAAAAAAAAAAAATACACGATGGTAGTTTATATGTCAAGGAAATCGTCAAGCTGGGTATTTACAACGTTAAGATTGTCTGGTCTGATATGCACGTTTCTGTTTATTCCTACACCTATTTGAAGCACATTTTTCTGAACTTGCGCCTGCGCGGGGGAAACACTTTGTGCGGGGCGGGCAGCCGCGCCTCCCTCGAGTGGTAAACGCACCCCAAATATGCACAGAAGGTGGATGAAGGGGTGTGACCCGCCCCCCCTGACGACGCCAACAGGGGGATCCTTCTGACCATCGCGAATAATTTGCTACTCCATTTATGTCATCTTTTGATTTTTTTCCTATTTTTAAAACTCATTTGTTTGGATACTTTTAAACGTGGAGCTGTCCATCCGCATATGCACATCACGCCGGATTGGCGCCGCCCACAATGGGCATGGACTGCACTGTTGGAAGACAGTTATGCGAAAGGGGAAAAAAAAAAAGAGAAAAAATTCAGGTACACAAAAAAAGGGAAAAGTCGAGGGAAAATCATAACTGTGAAGGGGGAGAAGAAGGAGCAGTGCAGCATTCCTCCAGTGCCGCATTCCTCCAGTTCCGCATTCATCCAGTGCCGCATCAATCCAGTGCCGCATCAATCCAGTGCCGCTTATTGGAAGGTGGTTTACCGAATTTTTTTTTTCCTTGTTCCCCCCCACACGTTGGGCGCTATTGCGGGCCCATGGTGCCTTCACCCTCCACTGGGAGGAAGCTGTTTAGGAGGAAGCGCCTTAGGAGGAGGTCCCCTTACGGGGAGGCGCCTTGACTTGCATTCGCACAATTAGGAGGATTTGCCACATTGGCGCTATAGTTGGACTGCACCTGGATGATGTGCTCAATACATCTGGTAACATCCTTCACATGCATCATATCTTTGACACTTAAAAAATCGTCATACATTTTCTTCGTCCATGTGACCGGATCAAAGTAAATCCAAGAGCGGCAGCTGCTTAAGTTGCCCTGATTGGCCAAATTTCTCGGGAGAAACCATTTTTTATAGTTCATGTGATAGGTCCACTTTCTCAGATACAGCTCCGAGGCAGCATAAGCCTGCAGTACGTCTCTAGGTAGATTGTAAAAAATATAAAACAGCGTCTCCGTTTGCAGCTTCAGAAGTAGGGACAGACGAATTTGAAAGCGAGTATTTAAATAACAGCTGGGCTTGACGAAATAGTCCTCATTATATGTTGGGTCGTCACTTATCGGGGAAGTAAATGAGGAGAATAGAAAATTCGGCGAATTTAGATTCAACCCTAGGGTTGTGAGATCGGTTCCCAATGCTAGGATATTCAATTGGGGGTCCGTCATTTTGATTACCTTTAGTATCCCCATGAGCCCATAATTCGTTCGGTTATACTTCTTAGCTCTCTCTGTCGTTTCGTAGAGAAGTTCATCCAGTGGGATGTTCTCCTCATTGGAGGGGTGTCTATTTGGGTCTTCTGCCCCAGGTGCAGCACTACTGCATGGATAATCATTTGGTGTCTTCTCCTTTGAATAACCACTTGGTGTCTGCTCCTTTGAAGGGTCCATACTTCTGTTACCGATGCTTCGCATTGCCTGCCTCGTCTTCGTCTGATCTTCAATTGGTTGTTTCTCCTCCGCATCGTCCTTATTGCGCCTTTCGGATAGGTAATCGCACCCGCTCGGGAGCGATCCGGCGGTGTGGTCTCCATTAGCCGCGGCACTGTTAGTCCCCTTCAAACATAATTTTGCTTCTTCTGGGTGCTTCCTCTCTGGAACAGAATCACGCACGTTATCCCCTTTTTCTAAATTTACCTTAACAGAGGGTTCATACCTTTGCACAGATTTCTTCCCCTTTTTACTTCTACTATTGTCAGGATTTATTTCTTTGCTGTTTGGTTCCTCTTCCTTTTTTTGGCCCTCCTCTGGGAGGCTTCCTCTCAATTCTGTGTGTCCCTTTTGGGGGTCTCGTCCCCCCTGGGTGGCACTACCGTCTGTGCCTTGGCGAACGCATTTCCTTTGTGTCTCCTCCGCACCTCGGTTTTCATTTCCCCTCGCAGCATCGTCACAGTGTGGATCCCCATTTGAGCACTTAACCTGCGTCCCCATTTCGTCCCTCCCAGTAGCATAACAGCTTTCACTTTGGTCTTTAAAATGATCTTCCCTTTTTTCGCTCATTTTCTTTTCCTTGGGGTTAGCCGAAAGGAGATTACCATTTTGTGCTTCAGGCAGAACATCACTAAGGGGGGATTTCTCATCCGCTTCTCCCTCGTTAGATGTTTTTTCCCCGCCTCCTTGGAGATCACTTGGGGAAGCAGTAGCAACCGTCCCTTTAGCTTCTTCCCTTTCGCTAGGTGCATTATTATCATCTATAACATCCGACCCTTGGTCATTCGTTTCACTATTTACCATATCGTTATCTTCCCCTTTGCTACTTCCTCTCGCATTTTTTTTTTTTTTCTTGGCCAACTTAATGGGATTCTTCCCCTTTTCTTTATTTTCTCTCCTCATGCTTCGTCCCACTTGGGTTAGAGCAGTGGTGTGTAGGAGGTTATATATTTGGAGTGACTCAGTGATCAAACTGGAGTTACTCACGTCTGCGTGTCAAGTGTTTGCGGTCGTCTATATTTTCCCGTCCCTTCTTTCGGTTCCAATCGTACAGAGGTGCAAACTGCGCAGAAAGTGGTAGGAGAAGTTTGTTGTGTGCTCTGTCCTTAACTAGGGAGGGTACCTTCTCCGTTCCTGCCTCGTTCCCGCGATGGGTGTAATAATCTATTTCGAACCGCCTCGAAATGGTTCCGTTTAATTTGCTTTTTCACTTGCCTTTTTTTCAGCTGCCACGCTGTATGTACATACATAAACGCGCTGCTGACACAGAGGCTACACAATTCTATTCGCTCAGTAGCCACCCTTCCGTTCACGTTAGCGGAAAGTTCAGGAGGGGATAAACGGGACGTGGTGAAAAATTCACCCATTTGTGTCATGGGGGAACTGTTTCTTTGTCTGTTCGGTTGTTTCTTTCTTTTTTCACATCCGAGTGTCAATCCCTAATTGGAAATAACATGAGCACGGAAGGTGTACGAGAAATTAGGGGAGACATACCGGTGCTGCAAGCTATCCTTTAAAAGGGAAGGGGGGAAACAGCAGAGGGCAAAAAAAAAGAAAAAAAAAAAAGGAAAGGAAAACAATTTTGTGCTACAGGAAAGTAGCCAATTGTTTAACATTTCCGGGGGATGTTCCCGTCTGCCATTTTAGATGTCCTATGTGGGTGCTAAGCGCAACCCGAGTGATTGTCGCGAAAAATAGCAAAGGAGGGGGTAATTAATCCAATACAGCTAGTCTACCCAAAGCAGCATTTAACAATTTTGCAAAATTGTGTAGAGAGGATGAAAACCATCTTGTAAATGCACTTTCTGGGAGGAGGGGAGAAAATAAAAAATAAAAAAAATTCGAGTTACTTTCCCAAGGAGGGGGACTTTTTTCCAAAATGTCCCAAAATAGCTACTCACAAGATCGTGTCCGCGTGAATTTGTTTCTCCCCCTCAAGTGTGAAATATTTGTGCGTGCCTTTCTGCATTATTTCACAGAAAAACGCAACGTTGGGGCGGCGCTAACATCGAGGTAACACCGCCATAACACCGCGATAACATCGCGATAACACCCGGTTGGCACACACCGGATGGCGCCCTTCCGCAAAAAGGCGCTTACCCCGCCCCCTACTTGAGGCAAAACGTATGCCCAGCTAAGCACAATACGGGTGAACGCTGAACACAAGATGGCACTTTTCACACAAAATTGAAACGTGAAAAAAATTGAAATTTCTTTTTCCCATTTGCTCTTTAATTTCGCTGCATTTTTTTTTAAGTCCCATTTGTGTACCAATTATTCCTGTACCTGCTTTTGAAGCATTTCGAGAGTTTTTTTCTTTTCTTCTCCCCCCCTCTGTGGTTCCTTCCCCCATGTAATACTTCGAAGATTGACACGTTGATTCGCAGACCGTTCGTAAGGTGTAAGGGAGCGACTGAAAGAGTAGGGCAGCTGCTAAGCGGGTGAAGTTTTCCCACCCTTTTTTTCCCTGGAGGCTAATCCACCAAACGAGCAACGGACAAATGGAGCTGAAGAAGGCGTTCATGTGCTGCCTGCTACTGGTAGTCAAACATGCAGTTGCGCCCTCAGTGTACTTCTCCGGTTTGGACATAAAAAATATGAAAGGCAAGTACAAAGAGATAGAAGAGAACCATGCCAAACAAAATGTGAATGATCTATTTTTTCATGAATTAAAAAAATCGAATTATCAACTGAATAGTAATATTATCGCACTTAGCACATCGAGGCATTATTTCAACTACAGACACACGAGCAATGTACTGACCGCATATAAATATTTGAAACATGTTGGGGACAATATGGACCGGAACATACTGCTTATGGTGCCATTTGATCAAGCTTGCAATTGTAGGAACATCGTAGAAGGCACTATTTTTAAGGAGTACGAGAAGCCTCCAAGTGAAGATTTAAAAAAAAAAAAAATGAAAGAAAATTTGTACAGCCATTTAAATATAGACTATAAAAATGACAACATACGAGATGAACAAATAAGGAGAGTAATTAGACATCGATATGATGCCTTAACTCCAGTTAAATATAGGTTATATACAAATGGGAACAGAGAAAAAAATCTCTTTATATACATGACTGGCCACGGAGGAGTGTCATTTTTTAAAATTCAAGATTTCAACATTGTGAGCTCTGTTGAATTTAGCCTGTACATTCAAGAGCTGCTCATAAAAAATCTCTACAAGTACATTTTTGTAATTATTGACACGTGTCAAGGGTACAGTTTTTACGATCAAGTGTTGCATTTTTTAAAAAAAAATAAAATAAATAACGTATTTTTAATGTCCTCCTCGGATAAGAACGAGAACAGCTACAGCTTATACTCGAGCAAATATTTAAGCGTCTCGACGGTCGATCGATTTACGTTTTATTTTTTTTCCTACCTGGAAAATATGGACAGAATATACAAGAACGAACCGCATAAAAATACCAGGGCCTTTTCCTTATATAGCATCTTGAATTATTTAAAAACACAGCATTTGATATCAACTCCAACGATAAACAATTCGAAATTTAGCACCTCGATATTTATGCATAGTAAAAATATTCTTTTTTATGACTCCTCCGGTTTTTATGTAAGTAAAGACGCGGAGGAGAGTGCGTTGGAGGGGCTGGGCAAGCGCAGTGATAACGCCAACCGAAAGACAGACAGAACTGCAATTCGAAATACCTGTTTGGGCGACTTGAGCGCATGTGGGCATATGAAAAATGAAATATACACCCACATGAGGAACCTCTACTCGCGCAGCAGCTTCTACAACAATGTCGAGGTTTACTTCAAGGAGGAGTCCTACTTCACGGACTACTACTTTACCGCCGAGCGTTTTGCTGGAGGGTACTTGCTCCCCGCTTCCCTTTTTTTAGTGGTGATCTCGTTATGCCTTCTGTTCTTTCTGTTCACGTAGATCTCTTGCTTCGCCCATTTGGACTGAACGTTTGGAGGGATTATGCCTTTTTTTGGCCGAACGTTCAGGCAGTTTTGGACTTTTTTTTTTTTCGTGCAATCCATTTGGCTGCCTTTTGCTGAACGTTCAGGCGGTTTTTGTTCTTTTTTTTTTTTGTGCCATCTATTTTGCTGTTTTTCGCTGAAGGTTCAGGAAGTTTTGGATTTTTTTCCTTTTTTTTTCCTTTTTTTTTTTGTATGTGTTCGCTGTTACTTTGATTTCCCGCACCTTGACAGCTGGGAGAAAAGAAAACTTTTGGCTGTTTGGCAAAAAAAAGATTATTATATGTTTATCGTCCAAAAGAAGAGTACAATTGGGGGAAAATGTCCAAATGGTCTGGTAAAGATAAGCACATTGGTGAGTTACACTTAAGTAAAGCGTCCCTTTTGGCACCCCCAAATGGTTACACAGTCTTGGTAGCGCCGACTGGTAAGACGGTTGCAAAATTTTCAGGCGCCTATTCACAGCTATTCGCAGCCATTCGCAGCCATTCGCAGCGATGCAAGTTGGGGCACCCCAAAGGGGGGCCAATTCGCGGGCGGCGACGTGCATACACACACCCGGAAGAATTAATTGCTACACCTGTGTCCAACTTCAACAAATATGCAAGGAGAAAGATAGGCACGCGCCTACTCCCGTATATGGCTGTTCGCATATGAACATGTGCGCATACCGTGCTATTGCGGGCATAGAAAAAATGCAGTTGCGCAAGGTGAAAACTGTGAAGTAGAAGAAGCCGTGCAGCAGGTGGAGCTACAAAAGATCGATCATATCACACTTTATTTTTTTTTTTTTTTTTCCAAACACATGTAGTATGCTTTGCCCCCCCGTAGGGAGTTACTCCCGCGCGAAAAAAAAATTGACTGCAGCGGGATGCGTACGTATATGGAGACGTAAATGCGCACATATATGCCCACATATATGCGGACGTCTTTTTTCTTTTTCCCCTTTTGCGTAATCCGTGAGAGGCACCCCCGTATTCCTCGCCTTTGGGTGGATTATTCGACACAAAGACACTCCGCTGCCGCAGACTAGCGAGGTAAATTCTTCATCACATTTGGATTTTTCCAGATCGGGTTGAACTTCTGCGTTGCGCTGCTCATGGTAAGTACTGCACATTGTGTGTATGTACGCATGCATGTCTTCATGCATGTATGCACGTATGCATGTTTGTCTTTTTTTTTTTTCTCTTGTCCCGTGCTGCCAACCTAAGAGTCGTCAACTTTTTTAAACAAAGACGAAGGAGAACATTATGCTGATGTTCCTGCTGCTACGAGTGCGCGCGTTAGGAAACAGATGAGTTGGCATTTTCCTACACGAGTACGCTGCTCTCTCTGATTTGTGCCATCTCGTCATCGTTAGCTTTGCTCTGTTACAATGCGGAGCGGTGAAGGTGGTCAGTTGTTTGAAACTTTTCTGGCAGCTTCCCCCTATTAGCGCATACCCCTTATGCCAATTTGTTTGGCTGCCATTTCGCTCTCGTTTCGCTGGTGTTTCACTATTGTGTGTCTGTGTATCGCGCGCTTTTGTTCGGATTGGCCTTTTCGCGTCCTCCCTTTTGAGTAGTCCTTCCTTCCCTTCGAAAGGGTGTGTACGACCCTATACGTTACGTCCTCCTTGGCGTTTAACTTTTCTTTCCGCCACCTCTTTTTCCAGCTGCTTTGTCGCAAGTTCGACTTAAGGAGGGTTAGCCGGAAGGGGTCGTAGCCTTTCCCTCGACCGCAAAAAAAGAAAAAAAAAAAATAGGGACCTTACAGGAAGGAGAAACCACAACTGAACGATGGATGTGGAGCACGTGGAGGACTGTGAATACCACGCTAGGGAAGGAGATCGAGAATATAAAGACGAAGTGAAAAAAGTGACGGACAAACTTATATATGAAAGGAAGAAAAATTTTCAAGGCCAAGATAACTACTGTCGCACTTCATCTGTTAGTATATGTCCTAATGTGTATTGTAACATTTACACAGATCTGCACAATTGGTTTGGATTTAAACATTGCAAAAAAATCGATACGGAGTCTTTAAACACCTGCTTTACGGATATAGCGAACGGGGGGGTGGGGTACTACGAAAAACTTATCGTGTTGGGAGCAAGAATATTGGAGCTATACAGTGAGTTGCATTTTTTTAACAAATATAACTACGAGAAGGAGGAGGAGATTGTCCAAGATATAAGAAACATCAAGTCAGTAAAAGAAGTTGTCTTCCAATACCTGTATGTGCAGAAGAGAAAAAATCGAGTCATTTACAAAAATAGCTTATACTTATTTGGCTACTCTTATCTGTACACACCTCTATTTTTTCGAAACAAAAATTCGATCATAAAGTATGTCAAGGCATGCATAGCGTATGCTGTCAAATTTAGTGGTGCCAATATATTCTCTTGGATGCCTTCCTTGATAGAGCATATTTATCACTCCCAGAAGGTGAAGGTAGCCGAGACGGAAGAGGAGAATGAGTTGATACAAGACCTGCAGGAGTTTTTCGGTTACCAGTTCGATTACGTCTTGCCACGGATAGCGGAGTGCTTCAGTCAGCATAATTTGTACATTAGCAGTTCTCACCTCACGGGCTTGCAGATCGTGCGCCTCTTCGCGAATGAGTACTTCTCCTTGTTGGCCGACGTAAGGGGGGGAGGAGCTCATCAGCGGCAGTGTGTCGACCCGGCAAATTGGGGGGTGCCACTCTCCGAGCGTGTGACATAACCCGATGGTGTGCTGCTTTATGCTGCTCTGCTCTGTTCTATGCTGCGCTTCTCTCCGCTGCGCCATGTCGTGTCACTTTCTTGTATACCCTTTGGCAACCCCTTTCTTTCCCCCGCGCAGGACGTCAACATCGAGGGGAAGGAGAAAACCACGTGGGTGCGCGAAGAAACGGAGGCCTTCCTCAACTCCCACTGCATCGAAATATTCAGCTGCTGCATGCTATCTCTGCACAAGTACCTCGACGAGAAGGGGGTGAAGGTGGATAAAATAAAGGCCATATTTGAAATGCTTCTTTCCTCCTGCTGGGTACTGGGAAGTGAGAAAAGAAACAAAGTGTGGGCATGTGCCCTTGTGCAGAGGTTAAGGCAAGTGCAGCTGCTGACACAGATCAGCACCATCGAGAAGTGGTCATACAGCATCAAAAAGTATAACGACCTGAACATACAGAATTTTGTAAAAGACATATACAATTTTAATAATATCAATGGGAGTGTCTTATCTCCTTTCCAATTGCAAAACGTTAATATTTATCTTCCCCCCAAGGAGGGTCCCTTGAAGGAAATCCCCTATTATACGACGCTGGCCGACAGGTACAAGGACCGGTTCCCGCGCGGGGACAGTGCCAGGCCGGGGGGTAACGGCATCAATGCAAGAGGCAGCAACAGCAGGAGTAACAACATCCGCAACCGAAACAACTGCCAACTCTATGATGTTTTAAATAACCTTACCAGCAACATATATAAGCGGTTCAGACCCAGGCAGCCCAGGAACAGCGCATCCTCCGGCGTCACGCGCCTGGTCTACAGTAACAGGGATGGGTGCCCTCCAGGTAGGGGAGAGCGATAAAGCGGTTGGCGCGATAAAGCGGTTGAAACGATAAAGGGGTTGGCGCGATAAAGCGGTTGAAACGATAAAGCGATTGGCACGAGGGAATGCGCTTCACATGAAGAAAATCGATTTGCGTGAGCATACCTCCCCCACAATATCCACACACCACCTCGCTGACACCACCTCGCTGACACCACCTCGCTGACACCACCTCGCTGACACCACCACGCTGACACCTTACAGACATGAGCTACCACGACCTGAAGGCCAGCCTTGCCACGGACGAATCCACTAAGTACGACGCCACCCAGGATTTGGACGTGGACGATGAAGAGGAAGAGACCTACGGGGAGGAGGAAGACTCATTCATGCCGTACTGCGCGGACGAAGGAACCCACGCAAAGGGCCCCGAAACGGGAAAGAACGGAATCCCTGTAAAAATAAAATACATTAAAGATGCAGCGGACGATCGTAACTCCAAATACGTCATAGAGATTCCCAAGCGGGACTTGGCAGACGGGGGCGGAAGAAACCACGTCAAGGCAGGTAAGGCGTTTACCGCGCGGGGAGACCGCCACACTGCTAAACGGCGCGGGTTGCGCTGCACCTCGTAGCGAACATGCCAGCAGGAAATTTCCCCTCCACAGACACACACACACCGCGTACATCGAACCATACGGTGCACATCCAGCCACACTGTCTACCTCCAACCACACTGTCTACCTCCAACCACACTGTCTACCTCCGACCACACTGTCTACCTCCAACCAGACCGTCCACTTCTAACCACACTGTGCATCTTTTCCCTTCTCAGTTCTCTGGGGAAATGGAAAAAAGGGCCTGGAAATTAAACTCCCCTCCGAGAGTGACCTCATGCCGCATGTGCGAATTAGATGAGACGGGGTCGATTTATGAGGTCCCCCCAGAACCAGAGGAAGGACAGACCTGCCATTACGTGTATATCTGTGCCCCGATGGAGTGAAATAAACGATGCGTACTTTTCTTTTCTTTTTTTTTTTTTGTCACTTTGTATTTGTACCGCTGTGTTGTCCCTGTGCTAATGCAGCGGGACTAGGGCGAAACGTTCCAATTGAGGGTTAAGCAGCATGATGAGCATTTTTTCCGTTCTCACGTAAGCGAAGAATTGGATCGCCGCAAGAAGAGGAGATTCATCTGTCCTTCTGAGAGGCGTGTTGCAAACGGGAACAACGAAGCGGAAAAAGGGAAAATGAACAAAAAGGATAAGCAATATGAAACGCAATGGGGACAGAACAAAATGTATACAATGAAAATAACTCAGCGGTGTTCCCTGTACATGTTATGTTTCTCGCGAATGTGATAACCTCTGTAGGGAGGGAAATGCAAAAAAGGAAAGAAAAAAGAAAAAAAAAATTCCCCCCTTCCATTCTCCCACTTTGGGTCCCCCCATTGGCCAAACGAATCAGGCCAGATTCCCCAGGGTGACTCATCCTTCACGCCTTCATCCTTCTGTGTCATTTATAAAGGGATGAAATGCGAAGAGGAACAATAACGAGCAAATCGTAGATGGTATTAAAAAATAAAATAAGTAGACCTACATTTGAAAAAAGTCATAGGAGCAGTAGGAAAAAAAAAAGAAAAAAGAAAAAAAAATAGTTAATCTAAACAAAAGGGGGAGGAGGAACCTACGTAAAGGAGCGTGAAGAAACGCAATACGCACGTGCCCGCTGGTCCTCCGAGCAGAAGATAAGTAGAATGGGAAAGATTGATTATATGAAAAACAGGCGTGATAGGTGCTGCAGAGGCAGGCTGTACATCGTCCCGGTATCGCGTCGTAAGGAGAAAAAACGCCGGGGTGGGGTACCGCCGGGATGTTCCGCTGTACATAAGCAGGTACAAACGTTAAAAGGGTACACTACATGTATAATATGCATTTATGTTAACCCTTTTGTGGGTCCGGAAAAAAGTAAAAAACGAAAAAAAAAATCTCCAGTCAGTATGTTTACGTGACGTGTTTGTTTGTTTTTATTACCCCTATGTGATTTTTTTCCGTGGATAACTAATCATATCCCATACAGCAGGGATTGCCCTCATGACATCACCGTCGTAAAAATAAAGGAAAGATCGATTAATCTGTTACCATTTTAAATATAATGGTGTTGGGACCGCACTGAAATGTACCATTTTATTGCTGCGAAATCGCTCGGATGTTCATACGCATAATAATACGCGTCGACGCGTGAAGAACAGAGGGAAAAAAGTATACGTTTTGGAGAAGCGCGCCACGAAGCTTTTACTCTTCGATAGAAGCGCTGTGGTATAAGAGTGCAAACGGCGAGCCGGAGGGGGTAGTAGCGACTTGAAAGGAGGGGGAAGCAAAGACCAGATAAGGAGTGGAAAAGGAATAAACACAGCACAGGCAGATCACACGCCGCGGGTACAGAAACTCGACCTGTACAGCCCCAAACCCCCTAACTAAGCAGAAACTCAAGATGGATAAACTTATGAACAATAACAAAGTCAAGCTGACGGTGGTACTGGTGGGGGGTCTGTGCTCCCTGGCGTTGTATCACATGAAGAAGAAGATGAAATTTTCTCATTTTTTGTTTTCGAGAAACTGGTTTAGCGAGTTCTCCCTGATGTGGCCCGGCCAGGCCTTCAGTCTGGAGATAAAGAAAATCATCCATCAGGCCAAGTCAAAGTATCAGGTAGGTCCTTCTCCGTGGAGCGGTCCACCCTGCTGTCAAACACGCTTTTTTTTCGCCCCATTTGTTAGCTTGATCTGTTAGCCTGATCTGTTAGCCTGATATGTTAGCTTGATCTGCTAGCTTAATTTGTTAGCCTAATCCGTTCACCCCACTTCTTCACCCCCCCGCAGAGCATCCTCGTCTTCGAGAGCACGACGTTCGGAAACGTGTTGGTCCTGGACGGCGTCATACAGCTAACCGAGAAGGACGAATTCGCTTACCACGAAATGATGACTCACGTCCCCATGACGGTTGCTAAGGAACCAAAGAACATCCTCATCGTGGGAGGAGGAGATGGAGGAATCATCCGAGAACTCTGTAAATATAAGTCCATAGAAAATATAGACATCTGCGAAATCGATGAAATGGTTATCGAGGTATCCAAAACGTTTTTTAAAAACATCAGCTGCGGATTCGACGATAAGAGAGTTAATGTCTTCATTGAAGACGCGAGTAAATTTTTGGAAAACGTTACCAACACGTATGACATTATTATTGTGGACAGTTCTGACCCCATCGGGCCAGCCGAATCTTTGTTTAACCAAAACTTTTACGAGAAGGTCTACAACGCGCTCAAGCCCAATGGCTACTGCGTCGCTCAGGTGAGGAGAAGCACCAGGGGAATGTGCAAATCGGTCACGTGTGTATAGGCTACGCGGTGTGCCCATTTCAAGGATTCTTTTCTTTTCCCCCCTTCCCGATACCGCCTCCCTTTTAATACCTCCCCGCTTCTCATACGTTCCCCCTTCCAACACCGCAGTGCGAATCCATTTGGATACACGTAGGAACGATAAAGAGCATGATGGGATACGCAAGAAAATTGTTCAAGAAGGTCGAGTATGCCAACATCAGCGTCCCGACGTACCCCTGTGGTTGCATAGGTAACGTTCGTAGCGGAGACGGGCGAACCGCATGACCGATTAGTAGTCATATGTCGATTGCGTCTCTTCGCCACTCATTTTTGCCTCCCCATTTTGCCGCCATTCTCGCCTCTCCCCACGCAGGCATCCTCTGCTGCTCCAAAAGCGACACCGGCATGTCCAAGCCGAACAGACGGCTGGAGACGAAGGAGTTTATGGACCTCAAGTACTACAGTTACGAGAACCACTCGGCCGCTTTCAAGTTGCCCGCCTTTGTTCTGAAGGATATCGAATCTGTGCAGTGAATCGCATCATGTAGCTCACCGCACCTGGTAGTGCACCCCCTTGGTTATTTGGGGAATCATCAACGCGTAGGTCTTATGTGCGTGCCAAGGGACGCCCTCCACCCCACCTCTCTCATATTCTCTCTTCCTTCCAAACTTTGAAAATGCTATTAAAACATAAGCAAAAATTTATTTAATTTTAAGTAAGAAACAGTTTTTTAAAAATTGGCAATTTTGGCATTCCTTTTTTTTTGATGATATAGGGGAAAAGTTGCCTCTTTGGAGCAGTGTTGACTTTACTCTCATCAGTTGGCTGGCCATGATGTGCCGGAAGCAACTTTTTTTTTTTTTCCCATATGTCTATTATTCGTACATGGGTACATATATACATTGCATGTGCGCATGCGGGGCCACATGCGCGAAATGAGCCAAGTGAGCGAATTGCGCCAAATCAGCCAAATCAGCCAAATCAGCGAACGGAACAAACCGAGCAACGTGGCCAACCTTTATGTGCGCAGGGAAAAGAAAAAAAAACAACCTCATTTTTCCAACTCCACAAAATTGACCGGTTTTTGTATGTGCCGAGGAGTCCTCGTAGTGTGGCACGGCCACGTAGTGATATAAACATGTGAGCGTTCGTAATGCACACATGGATTGCGTGTGCGTAGTATACATATGCGGACATGCACCATTCGTACATGCATATGGACAAATACATCATCCGTACGTGCATATGTGCAGGCCAAGTGGTCGCACCCCGCCTCCGGGGACCACACCTTTCTTAACGCACTGCTGGGTGCACGACTCTAGCAGAAAAGGCGGAAGATCCGGCATATGCCGCATTGCCGAGTTTTAGAAGCCTCCATAGGCAGGTATATCCGCAGAGGCATATGGGGAAACAGTACACTGCGTATGTACGGGGGTCCTTTATTACCTACTCGTACTTACCTATGCGCCCTATACGTACGTGTGCCCCTTGTGGTCGGCGGCCTCGCACAAGAGTGTCGTTTTTTTTTTTCCTTTGAATGTTGCTTCGAGGGGGTCGCAGGGTAAGTGGTTTGTCACAAGGGGGCGAACACGACGCGTCAAAGGAAAAAGGCGGAAAAACGACGCGTCAAAGGAAAGAGGCGGAAAAACGACGCATCAAAGGAAAGAGGTGGAAAAAGGAGGCGTCAAAGCGAAGAAGAGGAAAAACGACGCGTCAAGCATCCTACTTGCTGCCAACATCGCAAAGAATATATATGAAAAGATCAGCACGTGCGCCACCTACCCATGTCAGCGTGCATATGAAACATACATACAAAAGTACATAACATATTCACCTCAAGGAAATTTACGCGCGAATAATTCGTACGTATAAGCGCAAATGTACACTGCGTATGTTAGCAGCCCGTATGTTCAGCACTGCATATGTAAACGGCTCCGGAGTGCCAGTATAATCGTTTCGTTTGTGCTCATGAGCTACTGGCCCTGAGAACATATGGCTCAGGGCGGAAGAGGCCTTTTTTTTTTCTGCATCAACCCTCCGACATCATCCACATCGGGGGGGCCCAGCGGCAGTGGAATCTTAAAAAAAAAAAAAAAAAAAGAGGAAGGAACAGGAGGATAGGGCGGATCGTTCCGCCTACTTAAACTGGTTGGTTCCTCTTCCGTTGCGGTCAGCCGGTCGTTGAAAAAATAGGCATGAAAAAAAGGGGCAAATCCGCAAAGCGGCAAAGTGGCAAAATAATATGCACAGCACAGGGAAGAAGCCCAAACAAACAGCAAATCAGGGTGCCATTTCTTTTTTTTTTTTTTCATCCGCCATTTATGTACCTCTATATAGCATATGTAGATATAGTCCTTTCAACCAATCGCGGCAAAATTGATTTTTTTTTTTTTTTTTCGACTAAAAAAATATTAAGCAAAATAGAAAAAACGGAACGAACAAAAATTAAAACAAAGCAAATAGAAAGCAAAACGAAGCAAAACGAAGCAAAACAAAGCAATACAAAATAAAACAATATACAAAGCAGAAAAAAAAAAAAAAGAATAAAATAAAAGCATTCCCAAATTAATTAACAAGAAAGATAAAACTCAAAGCGCCAAGCTTTAAGAGTAGCAAATCCCAAACGTATAAAACGCGTAAAAGCAAAAATAAAGAACCCTGCTGATGAGGAGACCTTTTTCGTTTTTACCCCCAATTTAACTGTTACGATTTGATTTAACGTGACAAATTAAATTGCGAAGGTATTCCATCTGTGCCCACGCCTCCCGAGCGGATGCATATATGTATATATATAAATATATACATACCTGCATATATATTGTATGTACTTATAGCAGTGTATAGTATACACCTATATACATCTCTATATCTCTCTATACTTACGGCAGGTCGATACTCATTCCTATTGCCCTTCCCAGTAGCGAAACGGCATAAAGAAGCATCGTAATAACGTCGCGACTATCCCACCGCTTCTCTGCATTCCCGCCAAAATGATGAAGAAGGTTGCGCTATCCATCCTGCTGCTCCTCCTCCCCGTGTACTCCCTAAGCATAGATAAAGAAAACGAAAGCCCAGAAGAAATAAAAACGATTACGGGAAAATTGCAAGTACAGAACAGTGAGCATGAAAAAATCCTAAACGTGATAAACGAAATTTTTACCAAAAACGATGATAACTGTCCGTTCTCCTTCTCCAACAGCGGATTCAGATGTGCATTTAACCGATTTGACGTCAACTTCAATAATGGATCTAAGGCAGTCAATGCATTATTTACTCCCGCAAATGAACAGATTATAAAGGATGCTGCTGAGGACTACAAAGTTCGTCTCATGCTGGAGTTGCATAATTTGAACCCACCACATCTAAATCTGAAAAATTTTAAAAAAGATTTCCAAGCCATATGGCTTAAATACTTCTCCGAATTGAGAAGGAAATTCTTCCATCTGTACAGGAGTGATGAGTCCGGTCAGGATGGTGGAGACAAGGGAGGTAGCGAAATCACCAGTGTTGACCAACTGACTGAAAGACTTGAATCCACCTACGATTCTGCCTCAACGGAAGATGGCTCCAGTGTTGGAAAGGATACAAATCAGGACTTGTCTGAATTGATGGAGGAAGATATTGAGAACAACCCAGATGCTCCGAAAGTGCAAGGAAGCAGTTACTCTTTCTCTTCACACACCTCCAAAAAGATTATATTTGATGGAAATAATGTGATCGAAGAGAATGAAAGCTCCATAAATGATGGAGGTGATGAGCAGAATGAAGATCTCCTACAAGGACCAATGACCAAAGAGAAGGCTCTGTCCATTTTCCTAAAAAATACTTCCTTTACCATTGAAGGAAATTGCACTGAGGAGGAAGAGAAGAAGGAAAATCCATTTACCGTCTTCTTTAACAGCCAACTGAGCAGAAACCAATTCAGCACTGTGTGCAACGCGAATGGAAAGAACTTACTAAGAGGAGCCAACGGTGGAGGAAACCCTCTCTCCATGGAATCAATTAATCCAGAGGATCTAAATAAAATGATGGCCGACATGTTAAAATTTTTTGAGAGCCAAACGGACGCAAATGGAATGCTGTTACCCTTCTTGAGCAAAATGAACTTTATGGATGCCCTCGAAAATTTGGGAGTCCCACCTGGTCTCGATTTGGAAAACATGTTCAGCAACTTATTCCAGGGAAACCTACCCGCCCCCTGCTGTAGAGGTGCGCGACCAAACATTGGCGGACCGAACAATAACGAGCCAACCACCAACGGACCAACCACCAACGGATCAGCCATTAAGGGACCAGTCATTAACGAGCCCACGGACGACTCGGATAAGCAGCAGTGAGCTGATTTGCAGCAGCCACGCTAGCGACGGGAAAGGTCAAAAGGGGGAAAAAGCAGAAAAGGCAGAAAAAGCAATGAAAGATTAGAAGCGTAAAATTGATGAGAAGTCTAAGAAGGAAGAGAAAAAGCACAGCTGTGAAGACAAGACCCCCCCCACCGCCGATCCCATCCCATCCGTGCATACATGTACTGTACGCACACGAGGCGGTCGTCTCCCAGCGGGAGGACCCCTCCACAGACGGATCAACCGAATGAAGAAAAGAACATATACGTAACGTGTAACATGTGGCATGTAACTTCCTATCTGTTCCTACACCCCACGTGCATGCATGGAGATCTATACGGGGTTACCTACACATGCCTCTCTTCCTGTGTGTATTTTTATGAATTGCATTTTTCACCTCCGAGGGTGTACTCTTGTGCGTATGATTCAATGATGTATACAAATGGATGTGCGTTTGGGGAAGGGCGTAGGGTTACCAACCCCTCTGTCTCTCCTCCCCGCGCACAACGTGCATGGGCTAGTTTGTATAATACAGAAATGTGCATGCGCCGCTTTAACCACATGCCTCTTAAAAGGAGGAAAAGAAATACGACCAAGCTGATCGATCGTACATACATGAAAATAAAGAAAAAAAAAAAAAAAAAGGAACAGATAATATGACATCATATCATATCAAATCAGCTGAGACGCACATCCAACGAAAAAGGAACCATTAAGAAAGAAAACACCCCTCAGCGTATCATTTCCATTTTTATTACATATATGCATATTATTTTATGTGTACGTGTGTATATAACTGCTTTAAAAGAAAAAATGAGCCTTGTGTAAATATATATTTATGTATGTTTTCCCGCCTTTATATATATTACATCGCTGCTTCATTACCTCTTCACCAGTGCGCAATTTTTTTTTTTTTAATTGATAAAAAATTGATAAATTTGTAAAAAAAAAAACTCCACAAGCGCGCATATATATATCTTTCGAACCGTCCACCTGTAGCTATACCGGTATGGGGACGGTAGAAGTTGGTCTTGAGTGAGAAAGACCAATGATGACACAGGCTAAGTTACCACCCCGGGGAGTGCACAACTCGCCGATCCAATCCCCCACACAGAGAACACTCCACTGGGCTAATTACAGAAAGGGGATAAGCACAGCCCGTTGTAGTCCCCTTAGCTGTCATATCGCCTACATGATTTTTTCTCATTGATATTAAAGATGGCTCACGTTCTTCTTCCCCATTCTGTGAGGGAAATGGCAACCCCCCTCTTAAACAATACGCACACGCGAGTAAAAAGTTAAGATGTGTTAAAACAAAATGGCATGATATGTTGGTACTCCACCGAAGGATGAGCAGCGGAACTGCCGCTATTCCTCCGATAGTCACTCATAATCCGGCATAGTCACGTATAATCGCCCATTCGGGAGTACCAATTTGTGTCTACGATGAACTTTAGCAGGAACATCGACAGGTCCACCACAGGGGAGTTTTAGCTTAAGGGTTAGCCTACAACAGATGGCTACCTCAGTTGGGGGCACTTTCGGGATGTCTTTAAACGGCAGACCTGGAGAAGCGGCAGAGGAGCGGACTCCTTCATCATGTGCTAAGCTGAAGAGGAACTAGGCGCATGACAGCAGGGTGTTCCTTTGGGGGATGTTTTCCCCGTCGGGAGTTACAAAGCAATGACGATGGGGACGATTAACATTTGCAATATCAGCACAGTGTCTACAGTCAACATTTTCCATATCTGCACAATGGCGCTCCTTCCCTGGGTAGCTTGCAGCACTAAGGGTGTGTAAAGCGGGAAAGAATAAAACGGCACCATAAAAAGGGTCCCCAAAGGGTCACCAAATGGTCATCGAATTGTCACCATGTAGCTGATTCTCCCCCGCAAATATGTGTACCTTTTAGGTTACCAAAAAGATGACTCCTGAGGAATTATCTTTTTTTATTTTCCTTTCTTTAAGGCATTAATTTCTTTTCATACATGTTATGTACCTTTTTTTTTTTTTTTTTTTTTTTCCTTCCCGTCACTATTTAATAACGCCTAAATGGGTAATAAGCGCTGCAAACTAGCTGCCGGAGGGTCATCATCCTTGGGAGGAGCAGAGCCACTTGAAGTTGTTGCCCCGTCGGCCTCGCCCTCTCCGCAATTTCACACGGGCATCGTCCTGTTAGGGTAGCATTTCTTCTCGCCCCTTACACCAAATTCCGTGCATGCGAAAAATTGCCCTCCAAAAAATCACAAAATTGAAAAGATGCAAAATTGAGAAGTTGCAAAATTGCAAAGTTCACGAATTGTAAAGCCCCAATTGGCCAAGTTGACCCAGTTGACCTCAAAGAACGCGGAAGAGGAAGGATGACCTCCCCCCCGCAAAAGCGTCGCTTACCAAACCAAAGAGGCACAATTCTCAATTTCTTTTATAACTAAAGAGAAGAACAAAAGGAGCTACACAAAATGGAAGTGAACAAAGAAGATATCTGCGAGCTGAACAAAAACAGCTACCCCAATTTCTACCTGGCTGACTTATTTTACATTTTGCAGCTGACACATATATCTCCAGATGAGAAGAGCGAAACGTGGATAAAGCTGCAAGATGAAATAAAAAGAAATAACATGTACCCATATTATAAGTATGTATGCGAAGAATTGAACATTGCTGTAGACCAGGACCTTTACAATTCTTTAAAAAAAAATGCAGACGAAGAGATTAGCGAAATTGAGAAGAAGATCCAAGAGGCCTCCGAGAATTTTGACTCTGTTGACACCAAAAATGATGTTTTACTCAAGGCAAATTTTTTTTGCAAAATTGGAGACAAGGTTAGCAGACCGAGTTCAGAGGAATCATCTTCTCCCCCATGTGGGAAGAAGGACGCTTCCTTATTGCAGTTCCTGTGTGAAGCCCACTGAAAAGATTTTGGCTGAAAAGATGTTGCCTAACAACTGTGGGTGTCATATTTCCGTTGTTCTCTATCTCCCCCCCCCTGTTTGATCCATTCACCCCTTGCGTACGCGTGAATCACCCAACACACACCAACCCGCCCCGCCAACCCGTTCACGACGCAGGAAAATGCACTGAAGGAATACGAAGAAGTGTACAAAAAGGGCATAGGGATTGGCGTCAAACTGGACATCCTCCTCACGATAATACGAATAAGCATCTTCTTTAACGACTTGAAAAACACCAAGAAGTATTTGGAGCAGGCAAGAACGCAGATGGAGAAAGGAGGGGACTGGGAAAGAAAAAACAAACTCAAAATTTACGAAGCTTTGAATTACATTATGATTAGGAACTTTCCTGAAGCCTCCAAAATTCTGATCGATGCTGCATCAACATTTACCGCAACGGAAATCATTTCATATGACGAAGTTATATTTTATGTTGTCATTCTGGGAATTGTAAGATGATGCAAACGTTGGCATTGGCGAAACGGGAGTTTTGTTCCGCCTCATGTGTGAAGTGAATGTGACCACGGGTGTGGCGCTGTCCAAATTTAGCTTGTACAAAGAAGTTCCCCCAGTTTTTAGTCCCGTCCTATCTTATTTTATCTTATCTTATCTTCCATTTTTTTTTTTCTTTTTTACCTGCCCCCTACATGCAGATGACCGAGGAGAGAACCGTGTTGGATAAAAAAATTCTGAACAGCTCAGTAATTTTGCAGGTCACGAGCAGTGATGACGATTTGCACAGTTATATATCCTCCTTTTACCACTGCGATTATCGAACTTTTATGGAGAAGACAATCCAAATAGCCATGCGAGTGAAGAGGGACAAATACCTGGGAAGGCATTACCGATATTTTATTCGAAACACGAGGGTGAGAGCTTATAGGCAATTCCTGGAGCCTTTCAAAAGCGTCACGCTTAAGAACATGGCGTACGCCTTTGGGGTCAGTGAGGAATTTATTGAGAGAGAAATTTCGTCCTTCATCGCGAATGGGAAGTTGAACTGCAAGATTGACAAGGTGAATGGTTCGATAGAGAGCAACCAGCCCAACGAGCGGAACACGCTGTATCTGAACACGATTAAAAAGGTAGGTCGTCCGCGAGCTGAAGCGTACGCGTGAGCGTGAGGCGGTGTCTTCCCGCGGATTTGTCGGGGGCGGAGGCTGATATTTCTGCGCCGCTATATCGACCCATCGGTTGTCCCATTTGTCCATCCATTTGAGTGCTCCCTTATGTCATTATCTTTTCCTCTGTACAGGGGGACATTCTACTAAACAGGATACAGAAGCTGTCCAGGGTTATTGACATGTGACCGGCGACCTCTACCTGTTGGCCTATGTGTGGCTCCCCTTCTGCGTGAGCCGATTTCCCCGCAGGGCTATCACATCCACTATTGTGATTGGTTATCTGTTCCCTACCGCTGCGCCGCTACCACCTTGCAACAGATTTGCGACCATTTTAATTTTTTTTTTTTCACAAAACGGCGGTTCATTTCGCTTTTTTTTTAAGATAATTCTTACCTGCACAATGCAGAGTTTTATTTAAGCACACTTTGTTGCCATCCTCCACGGTTTCACGTCGATGATTGCCAATCCCCAGCAACGAACGATTGCATTTTGACCCCCCAAGAGGGGAAAAAAAAAAAAAAAAAACCGTATAGTTCAACAGAAATGTGCAAAATCGCTAGCTGGCAAGGTAAAAAAAAAAAATTCTATTAAATACGCTTAATTCCGGTTAAATGAACAAAATAGCTAGCTGACAAGCAAACAAAAAAGCAGCGGCGCAACAGAGCGCAAATGTTCCATGTGGCCAATTTGCAAAGCAGCAAAAGGGCAAATCGTCAAAGGGGGCATAAACAGAAGGGGCAAGGGAGCAAAGGAGCCATTCCCGGAAACTATGCTAAGCAATCTTCAAGATGAATGACTCCCTTGTGGAAGAGGCGAAAGATAACACCCATTTCTAGTCACACCAATTCACGTACGAACCAACTTAGACGTCACCCCAGAGATGTACTGCAGGTAGGCCGTCTTCAACAGATAAATGTCCCTGTACAGACTGAAATGCAATTTGTGTATGTTCGTTGTGCTGAAGGGGTGCAATCGGAGGGGCTTAAAAATAATTTGCAGAATCTTATTTTCTCCCTCAGTGTTAAAGATAGACGAATGACAGTCCTCCTTGAAAATATAAAGAAAAGATTTAACATGATGTAAGGCATATCTTGACGTAAGTGTGTTTGTAAGCTTATATAACTGCAAACTCATTTGGTAATTGACCAGTGTGTCTTTCTCTCCATGGATAAAATAAATTTGCAAATTGGAAAAGATGCTACTCAAATGTTTTGTTCCCTTTAAGTCGTATAGTATTTTAAAAAATTCTTTTAGCACGGAGATATTGTCCCAGTCGACATAGGGGCACTTCTTATTCATCACAAACCAGCTAAGTAAGAATAGCACACTATTTCTCAAGATGCTTTTCACCAACTTCTGCGTGTTTGTGAAGGGTGCAACTAGGATTACTCTATCGACCGTTATGTTTAATTCGTCACGTAATTTTTTTTCCGCCTCTTTCTTTCGTTGCTTTACACTTTGCAGGCTTTCATTTACGCTGACTTTTTTTGGGGCATTTCTGTGAATCCTGAGTTTAAGTTTATTCCTTTTTTGATAGCTGGTAACGCTGCAACAGTAGTGACTGCTTCTCCGTTGGTGTATCTCTGCCCAGGAATGTGTTTCATAGGGGGGGTGTTTCCTAAATGTTTCGTCTTTCAGATCATCTTCTTTGTCTTTCTCCTCTTGGGTACTTGCCTGTGGATCCCCTTCTGTTTGCGCCTGAGTGGCTGAGGAAGAAGGTGTACTCACAAAGACATCCCCAAAGGTTAATATTTCCCGCGCGTCATAAACGTACTCATTAACTTTGTTGGTCCTCCTACTTCTTAGCTTGATGGAGAGATCGTTTCCCTCGTTTGGGGGTTCCCTAATGGGTTCCCTTTCCTTTCGATGAAATGGCGTCTTGCTCTCTCCTTGGAAGAAGTCGTTGTAGAGGCTCTTCGCAATGTCGAGAAGTAGCTGCAGCCCGACGCAGCACCCGAGAGAGTACCCCAGGATGTTGATGGATATGTCGGCGTGGTTAATTCGGCTACGATCGGCGACGCGGTTTATTCGTCTACGATTGGCGACGAGGTTAATTCGGCTACCATCAGTAGCGCTGCTAATGCCGCTTTCCCCGCCAACGCTGTTAACGCCGTTTTCACCACTAGGGTGCCCCCCCCTGCGAAGTTCTTTCAAGGCCTCCTTCAGCGCCGCCAGCGCACTTGTCTTGAACGTCAGGGGCGAGGGGTGGCCCGTGCTGTTGTTATACGCGGGGTAGTCCAGGAGCAGAAAGGAATACCTAACTGGGTTTTTCTTTTTCCTCTTCTTGTAGATTAGCGGCCCGTATATGTCGGTGTAATTCAGATTGCCTTCTTTTACTTCCCCCCCGCTTTTTTCAAACGAAGGGTTCCTTCCTTGCATGTGGTAAGAAATGAAATCCAACAGCTCGTCCGCTTCGCTGTCACTTGGTTCTATGAAGAAGTCGTACGCATCCTTCTCGTCCTCATCCGTGTCGTGGGGGCTCTTCCCAAGGTGATCTCCCCCATGATGGCCTCGCCCCCGCTGGGAATCCTCCTCCTCGCTGTCCCCACGGGATTCCCGCACCCTCTCCCTGTAGTAGTCCAAAAAGTTGCCATAGTTGTGAGGCCCAAACGCGTCACACCTCTGACTGTACTGTTCGTAGTACGCCACAATTCGGTCGTATATTTCGGTAGCCTTTTTGTACAAATTTTTCTGGAAGAAGATATTTAGGGGCAATTGGGGCAATTTGGGCAATTTGGGAGATTTTTTCTTTTCCTTTCTTCTCCTCGTGGACCTCCCGCTGTTTCGTTCCTTTCTCCCGCTTCCATTACGGTGAGTTGCTAAATTGGGGAAGAACTCATTTTCTGAGTCATGTTCCTGTTCAGGTGGAATGCCCCTCTTTGGGGGTCCTTTCTGTTGCTCTTCCCCCCCGGGATAGGCCCCTTCCTTCTTCTTGCACCCCATGGTGTGCAGATTCTTTTTTATTTTCCTCCTTTCCAATTTGGCCAAATATCTCATATATTCAGACGGAGGTATCTCTGTGGCGTACCGGAGAATCTTATAAACGATGTTTAGTGAGTCCATCGATTTCATATCTTTCCCTCCAAAAATGACCCATAGGAATATGGGCACTTGGGGGGACCCCTTCTTCCCTCCCTCTGTGTACGCCTTTACCTTCTCCAGATTTTTCTTCTTCACGTAACTGAAAACGGAGTCGTACAGTTTGGAGTTTATAAAATTGCGTATTTTAAAATTGTTCACATCGGCGAAGTTGGCCGTTCTGCTGCCCTGCTCCTTCTGCGAGGGGAGCGAAGAGGGAAGCGAAGAGGGAAGCGGCGGGACTGGCCATGCTGGAAGGGCAATAGTTTTCCCCCCCCTTCGCACCTTATCATCCCCGAAATAGTTGACCACCCCCTTGATATAATTGTGGTAATACTGGAAGAGGAAAAAGATATTTTTATCTGTGTACGGAAAGACGGGTTCTATCTTGCTGTTAAGATAGGTCATATAGACACATGAGCAGTCGAAGAGGGTGTTTCTCGGCGGGACGACCTTCCTCTGTCCTAAGTGGAACTTCTCCGTTGTAGTGTCGTCTTTCACAGTGGTGCCCCGTTTTAGTGAATCAATCTTAATGAGATTCCCCATTTGACGCCCATTCACATGCGTGTTCTGTCTGCCGCCGGACTTCGCGCCGCTGATCGGCACCACCCCTGTTAGGATCTTCCCCGAAACGGGAAGCCTCTTCACCTGATCAGTAGTAATGTCCCTGGAAATAGTGATTCTCGCCTCCGTCCGTTGTGCGCCCAAAAGAGGGTCGATTCCCCGTTTGGTGGGATAAACTAGGGGAGAAGTAACACCAACAACAGGGGACGGCACTGCACTGAATGAGGAAACCACCCCATGCTGAGCAGGAACACTTTTCAAAGAGGCGAAGTAACTTTTCTTGGCGCACCTGAAGGAACATTTATCGACGAAGTATCTGTTTCGCCGCATGTTTATGAGGTAGTTAGCCGGCCGACCGCTTATCGCGCTGGCGTCCACGCCATTTACTCCCCCTCCAGTTGCCATCCGTCGCTGCACCCCCTTGCGGCCCCTCCCTTTCTCCCCCTTTTTGAAAAACACCCAAGAGCCATTATTTATGAGCGCATGGTCGCTTGTCGCCTTCTGAATTCGGAGCGAGTTTCCCGTGTCGTGAACATCCAGAGGTGGAATCAAATAAGCGTTATAAATGTAGGGGTAAGTAAACGAGGCGGTATTCTGATCAACCAAGACAATATCTTTTATGGGCTGAATCAGCAGCTCGAAGTTAAGCCTCATGATCATGTGGCTGTAGAGACTTTCCCTGCTTCTGCTACCACCACTGCTGGTGTAGAAAAAAAGCTCATACCATGTATTTTGAAATTTTAAAAAATGGACATCTTCGTCTTCTTTTCCTGTCTGTACTCTTGGCAGGTGCGAATTACTGGTCACCTTATATTGGGGATTTTCCAAATCGCTCAAGGGAATGGGTTCTTTGGGGAGAGTCAAGATGCGTCTCCTCCTAATCTTTCCGCTGCTCCAGTTAGACAGAACATGTCTGTGCCTTTCCTCACGGGGACATACTTTAAGATTCTCCACGTAGAGGTTGTTTCCCTCCCGGAAGAGCTTCACCAACTTGTTCTTCTTGAAGCGGCTGCTTCTGCTCGCTGCTCTGGTGGGGGAGCTGTTCGTTGGGGGATCAGCGGGGGGGATAGTAGACCGCTCAGTTGCCCCGCTGCCTAATCGACTGCGTGGCAGCCCATCGGGATTGCCCATTTCGCTGTTAGGAGCTGTGGCCGACCCAGGGATCGCTGATTGACCGAACGCCTTCTTCCGTGCAAGCTGTCGAGACCATCTTGACCCGCTCCTCAGGTAGTCATTATAAATATGAATGAGGCTGAATTTGTGTCTTACTTCCCCATGTGGAGGGTTTCTATTCTCCTTGTTGGGAGCGTCACCATTTTTCTGTACTTCAGATTGATGAGAGTTTACATGCACCGATTGGTTTTTTTGTGTGTCCGCCCTTTCCAAGTTGGGTACTTCGTCGGACAGTCTGGTTAGCTCATCACAGGATTGCTTCTTCAATTTCATCGATGAGATTCTTTTGGCATTCATTAAATTTGCACGTGTCTGATTATTTTCTTTTATCGATTGACGCCTCTCTGTTGTATCATCATATGTGAGTCGTCCGTTCACGCCGGGGAGCTCCTTTAGGGGGGACGACTTTTCTGGCCCTCTCCCATTTTGGATATTCCCCTGGGTGGGTTTCCCATAGAAGAGGTTTTCACAGAGGATATGTTTTTGCTTCCCATCAGGTGGGGAGTCACGGTGAATGTCTTCCCTAAGAGGATGCCTTCCATTCGATGACCCTCCCCTCACGCAATCCTCCCCGATGGAGTGTCTACTTAAACGTCCTGCTTCAGCCTGCCCATCCACGTGAGCCTCCCAACATATCGATGTGGCGAAGTTATCCGGCCGGGGGGTCCCCTTCACCTTTGCACGTGCTGGAAAATTGATTTTGTGCCCCCTGGCTTTCTTAAAAAAACCACTCAGGTGTGCACATTTAACTCGGTCGGACGGTCGCGTTGTTGCCTTCTCGTTCATGAACTGTTCCCTTCTACACCCGCGCGAGGAAAGATTTGGAGACTTGTCTAGTTCATCGTTTGGAAAATGATCTCCTCCTTCGGGATGGACGAACTGTCCCTTGATTGTCCTTGTCTCTCTCTCACCACATGCATCCTTTATTTTCGGCCTCCCATTGAAACTCTTTGTGTGAGTTTGGCTCACCTGGGGACTCCCCATTCTTATGTTCCTATATCGTAGAGGTGTTTGTGTCTGCCTGTGGAGGGGCTGCACACGGCACGCAAGGGACTGTCCACTAGATTAGCACATGAGTGTCTCCCTCTTTCTAATTTCGTTTATCTTGGTTAACGTCGCTACGATGAGTTATTTTTCCTTCTTCGTTGTCCAACTTTTTTTTTTTTTTTTTTTTTTTTTTCCTGAACAGGTCAGGTTATACTGATTTATCTCATCTCCCCACCAGGAGGGGAAGGAAAAAAAGAAAGAAAAAAAAATCCCTTTGCAACACTTAGCGGAGAAAAATAGAGGAAGTGCCGCTCCCTTGGGGTTAAATCGAATCTCCGTTCAGGACAAATGAACGGTCAGTTGTGTGCCAGTCCAGCATTTTATAACAGACTAGAATAATTCACGCACAGTTGCACCGCCTTAACAGCGTAGCTTGCCTCCTTCGCCCGTTTCCACGTCTGCTTACAGCCGGGGCGGCCACCCCCCATTCGCATAATTGCGTTCCCCCCCCAGGGCGAGGTGCGTCCAGCTCTTATTGGGAAAAGTTGCGAAAAATACAGAACGGTTTGGAAAAAGTAGGGAGAAAAAAGGGCCAAAGAATGGCGAAAATTGCGTCTTTTCCGTCCTTTTTCCTTTTTTTCACCTCTTTTCACAACTGGCCATTGGGCGATTGCTCCAAGGCAGGCAGACCAAAGAGCTCATCCTTGGAGATCCATTTGGGGTGAAGTTTGCCCATCAGTGAGTATATCCCCCCATGAGGAGTGTCCAGATGGGGGGCGCATGCGAGACAATGCCTCACTTGGCCCGTCCCAGTCACCGTATAGACACTTACGGGGCGAGTTTATTATGACCTGTAACATGTTTGTCCATTTTGTCACTCCAGTTTTGACATTTCCGCGTGGTGTCCTTCACCTGGACGGTAAGCTACCCTGTAGCAGGAGGTCTACTCGTCTGATGGGAAAGAAGAAAAGGTGCCTGTTTATAGCAATTCAGAGCCTTTTTTTTTCTTTTTTGCCTTGACAGGGAGTTTGGTGCCAAAGATGGGGGTCTCCTCTCCCCTGGGGTGACACCGTGGAACATAAAAACTGTTCATGCGTAAAAATAAAAGGAAATTTTGCCAACTTGAAAAAAAAGGAAAACATAATAGAATAAAATAAGTGGGGATGGAGAAAAACGAAGGGGTCTTCCCCACGCGCCGTGTGCACAAAAGGGATGAACCCCGTTCGGGGAGCGAAACCGCCCCCTTCCAGTCTTTCCCGTCCTTCAGCAGAGAGGAAATCGGCCCACCGTGAAAAAGGCAACTCGCGGATGGATTAGCCGTTGTATGTATTTTTCTACCCCTTCTCTGGGTTACCTCCCCATGTGCATTTTTTTTTTCTTCCCGAACTTTGCGTTTTTTCCGTGCAACGCGGTTTTGTTCTTGCGAAAGGGGGCTCCCTTCTTCACCGTCTTGTCACTTCGCATAGGAGAGGGGGAGGCAGCCTTCTCCTTCTTATGCTTCTTTCTCTTTCCCTTCCCAGTGCGAAACTTTCCCTTCTTCTTTTTAACGCTCGCCTTGAGATTCCCATCTCTGTTCTGCTCCCCGTCTCGAGCGTCCTTATCGACCACGTGGCTGGCCTCTGCACCGTTTGCTGCGCCGCTTGTCCCTCTCCGCGGCGTCTTTTGGGCTGACTTCCCTCCCCCCTTGGCGTAGACCGCATCGGAGCGCTTCCACAGCTTGGCCACAAAAAAATTGTCGTAGTTGTGTTTGTGCAGGTAAATTCGTCTGCAGAGGGCGACTTTGCTGGAGAACTCTTTCTTCCTGTAGTGTGTGATCCCCGGGTCTCCAATTTGGATGTCGATGGGGAGGAGATTCACGTCTCGCTTTTTCAAAATGTAGTTAATGACTTGTTCGTTTTCCTCCACAGTGATGCTGCAAGTGGAGTAGACGACGATGCCTCCGTTTTTGACCAAGCTGATGGCATTGTTGAGTAGTTTCCTCTGCTTCTGTGCCAGTTCTCTGATTTCCTTGAGCGTCTTCCTCCTGGCTCCTTTATTCTTGTTGACGACTCCTGTGCCACTACATGGAGCATCTAAAATGACTCTGTCAAATTGGAACGTCCACTTTTTTCCAATCTTCAAAGCATCGAAGGAGGTAATAACCAGATTATGGATTCCCATTCTGGAGGCATTGGCTTCAATAGATTTGCATCTGACTTTGTTAACATCATTGGCGTAGACGAAACCTCTATTCTTTTGGAGGGCACATATGAAGGTACATTTCCCCCCTGGGGCAGCACACATATCCAAGACAGATTCATCCGGTTGTACATTTAACTCCAGTACAGGGATTAAAGAAGAGGCTGACTGAATCATGTAATAGCCATACATGTATTCATTTAGAGATCCTACATTTGAGTTCACATCGTGAATGACGATCCCTACGTTGTTCCAATTCTCTCCTTCCTCTGCAGTTATATTCTGACTTTTCAGAATATTGATTAGATTTCTCCTCGTTATCTTCACCGTGTTGGTCCGTAAGTGTATCTCCTTCGGCAGATTATTCATCTCGAGGAAGAGGTAAAGTTCTTTCAGGTCAAATAAGTAGTAGAGATATTTAATGAACTGCTCACTGTATTCATAGAAATAGCTGTAATAGAATAGAAGCTCTTTCACGATGGCTGCTTTGTTCAGTTTTGCCTTGACTCCTGTGGAAGGCAGTTTTACCACCTTCTCCCTTTCGCTGAACAGGAGGAGGAGATACTTCATGCGATCCTCGATATCTTCGCTCTTCATGAGCTGTCCCTTTTTGTAGACTCCCATTTGGTCTCTGTAAATATCCTCTTCCTTGTTTATCCACTTTTTCTTCTTTCCCCTTTTTAGCATCCCCGCTACTTGCGCTCGGACGTCCGTCAGCCGCTCCTTTGTGTCTCCCGCTCGGAGGTCTTCTTCAAGGTCAGCCTCGTTATCGTCATCGTTATCCGCGCCATCGACGTGGTTGATGCATTCCTCATCACCGCCGATCTCATCACCGCTTCCCCCCTCGCTACTCAAATCGCCGTACGACATGCCTTCGCTCTCGGAAGCACTTTTCTCCCCATCGTCCTGCTCCCCCTCCTCACTGGAGTCACCACCTTCAGCGTCGTGTTCGTCAACACTCCCCGACTCGAACTCATCATCATTTGCATTCAATTCGAAGTTCTCATTTTCGAAAAGGGAAAAGGTTTTCCCGTTGGTTTCTCCCTTGGTTTCCCCATTCTGGGTGTCCTCCTCCCGGGGGGCAGCTTCTCCCTCATCGGGTTGCTCCATCTTCAGGGTGGCTGGCAAAGGGGTGCACGGTTAGCAATGCCGTGCTTGGCTATTCTGGCACACTCGTGGAGTACAGCGGAGAAATAGGCACTGAGGTGTCTCTTCCGGGGTTCACTTCTCGTTTTTGGTAATGTTTTGTTCCTCCCCTGAAGGTAAGAGGCGACCACCAGGTCAGATTTCATGCGAGGATGGTGACCGGCCCTGTTCAAGGATTCGTCCGAATGGATGGATCCTTCTAACTGGGCAATGAAAGAAAAGACGACTAGCCCCCACGTGGCGCGCTCTCACTCACAGCAAATTAAAGATACTTTTTACGGGGCAGCCCCTTTTCGTTCTGCCTGCCGCTAGAGAGAGTGGTGGCTAACAACGCGGTGACGCGAGTCGCCCTTGCTCTTCTATAGCTAAGTGAAAAGAAAAAAATGACAATTATTCCGCTAAATAGAAAAAAAAATACTCAAAGGAAGAAGAAATTATAACTTCATCTTTACTTCCGAGGAAAAAAAAAAATTCTTAAAAGAAGGACATTTTACGAGGCCATTTTTTTCCCATCTGTGTTTTTCGTTCTCCATTTATCCATGCCACAGTAACACGTTTTTTTTGTTTTTTTTTTTTCTTTATGAAGAGAAATATCCCGGTTGGGGGCACGCCACGCATCGCGCTACAACACAGAGACGACCGCGCGGATCCATTACGCGGCACCGAAAGAGTTATCCTCAAGAGGGGACCCCTCGATTGGCTGGGAAATTACGCTCATTTTAGAGGGAAATTCTGAGGAGAGATACATATCCCCGCATCGTAAAAGAGGATAACATTTGCAGAAGGTAACCCATGAGGGTGGACCACTTGGCGATGTTTGGAAGGAAAAACACATCCATCATGAGTCGCAACCGATGCATTGGAAAAAGCAAAACAGAGCGCAATCCCATATCAGAACATTCCTTATGCCACTAATTCGGATAATGTTGATCCTTTTTTTTTTTTTTCCTTTCTTTTTGCAAAAGCTTCGTACATGTCAATGCCCTGAATTGAAGAAAAATTGTCAAGTTAAATTTTGCCCAAGTGGCAAACTGGGAGAGAGAGAGAAAAAAGACATATTTCGTGATAGTCCATGTTGATCTTTCTTCCCCGAATGGGAGACTAAAAAGCTACGTC